TCTCTCTCTCAAAAATAAATAAACATTTAAAATATAAATAAATAAATAGCACAAGAGTAGCTAGTAGAAGAGAGGAAAGAGGAGCACCTGGGTGGCTCAATCGGTTAAGCGTCCAACTCTTGATCTTTGCTCAGGCCATAACTCACAATTCGTGAGTTCAAGCCCCGCATCTGAGCTGACAGTGTGGAGACTGCTTGGGACTCTCCCTCTCTCTGCCCCTCCCCCACGTGTCCACTCACGCTCTCTCTCTCAAAATAAATAAGTTTTTTCATTTCATGTGTCTGCTGACCACCTGGATGTCCTCTTTGGAAGAAGAGTCTGTTCATATCTTCTGCCCATTTCTTCACTGGATTGTTTGTTTTTCAGGTGTGGAGTTTGGTGAGTTCCTTATAGATTTTGGATACTAGCCCTTTATCTGATATGTCATTTGCTCAGCATCCCTCCTCATCAGAGAAGTACAAATCAAAATGACACTGAGATACTACCTCATGCCAGTCAGAGTGGCTAAAATGAGTAAATCAGAGGACTCTAGATGCTGGCGAGGATGTGGAGAAACGGGCACCCTCCGACACTGCTGGTGGGAATGTAAACTGGTACAGCCCCTCTGGAAAACAGTGTGGATGTTCCTCAAAAAATTAACAATAGAACTCCTCTATGACCCAGCAATAGCACTCCTAGGAATTTATCCAAGGGATACAGGAGTGTGGATGCATTAGGGGCACATGTACCCCAATGTTCATAGCAGCACTCTCAACAATAGACAAATCATGGAAAGAGCCTAAGTGTCCATCAACTGATGAATGGATCAAGATGTGGTTTATCTATATGATGGAATACTCCATGGCAATGAGAAAGAATGAAATCTGGCCATGTGTAGCAACACGGATGGACCTTGAGGGTGTTATGCTGAGTGAAATAAGTCAGGCAGAGGACAGCTACCATATGTTTGCACGTATAGGAGGATTAGGAGGAACTTAACAGAGGACCATGGGGGAGAAGAAGGGGAAAATCGTGGGGGAGAGGGAGGGAGGGAAACCATGAAAGACTTTTGAATGCGGAGAACAAACTGAGGGCTGATGGGGGTAGAGGGGAGGGGAAGGGAGTGATGGGCATGGAGGGCGGCACTTGTCGGGATGAGCACTGGGTGTTCAATGGAAACCAACTTGATAATAAACTATTTAAAAAAAAGAAAGAGAGATAAAGAGTCTCCTAGATAAACAAAAGCTAAAGGAGTTCATGACCACTAAACCAGCCCTATGAGAAATATTAAAGAGGACTCTGAGTGAAAAGGAAAGGTCGTAAGTGAGAGTATGAAAAGTAAAAAACACAAATGCAGTAAAAATAAGTATTTCTGTAAAATTCAGTCAAAGGAATTATAAAATAAAAAGATGTAAAATATGACACCATATACCTAAAATGTGGGGGAAATGGACAAAAGAATAGAACATTCACAACAAAAATAAAAATTGCTCTTAAATATAAAAATAAATAGGGGCGCCTGAGTGGCTTAGTCGGTTAAGCATCCGACTTTCGCTTAGGTCATGATCTCGCAGTTCGTGGGTTCGAGCCCCGCGTCGGGCTCTGTGCTGCCAGCTCAGAGCCTGGAGCCTATTTCAGAGTCTGTGTCTCCCTCTCTCTCTGACCTTCCCCTGCTCACGCTGTCTCTCTCTCTCTCCTAGAAATAAATAAAAATATTAAAAATATAAATAAATAAATAAATAATAATTTTCTAAAAAGAATAATAAAAAAGAGGAAGGACATAAGGAATTCTGGGGGAGGGGAGATAAATTCTATTTCTGATCTTTACGATGAAGGAAGAACATCACAGGGGAGGGGAGTTCTTCTGGAGGCAAGCAAATATGGGAGCAGAGGTCAAATGTGAAAATACTTGTCAATTTGGGAAACACTACCATCCGCTTTCAGAGGGATGGAAGGATTGAGAAAGGCAAGGAGGCAAGCCGCAGGTCCTGTCCAAGCACTGTTGGAGTATGAAACCATGACAGCCTGGGAAAAGAATCTTTTTTTTTTTTTTCCTTTCCTGAAAATCATTATTCTGGCAGGCTGGCTCCAGGAAAACTCTCAGTGATTCCCACCTTGTGGCATTCATGCTCTTCTGTAAAACTCTCCCTTTCAGCGTATGCTGGCCTAGCAACTTGCTTCTGAGATAAGAGGATAAATACCAAAGGCAGTGGAAGACTTAGATATAATATGCACAATGTTATACTCTCTATAAACCATCTTCAAATGAATTATGAGTCATTCACATAGCGATGAGGAAGAGTTCAAGGAATTCTATCTCAAAATACACATTTAGCAGTATTATCTGATGAAAAATGAGGGTAGACTTATGACAAGTCTCCAAATATCAATCGCAACCATAGGTTTATCTCCTTTGTGAGATCTCTGCCATTTTGCTAAAGATTCTACACACTTAATGTACCCAGAGACATTTCTTGTTTCTGACAAGAGGCCACAGAATGTAACTGAAAACCTTGTCCTATTCACCCCTGTAGCTTGACAGGTTTGGGGTGTTCAAACCTGGCACATTCCAAAGGACTGAGCTTATTTCCTTTGTAAGTTTATTTAAGAGACAGAGTACATGAGCACATGAGCAGGGAAGGGGCTTAGAGAGAGAGAGACAGAGAGACAGACACACACACACACACACACACAGAGAGAGAGAGAGAGAGAGAGAGAGAGAATCCCAAGCGGACTCCACGTTGTCAACACAAAGCCTGACATAGGGCTCAATCCCACGACCTATGAGATCATGACCTGAGCCAAAATCAAGAGTCAGACCCTTAACCAAGTGAGCCACCCAGGCACCCCCAAACAGAATGACCTTCGACTAGCACCTTGGAGAGAACCTCTCAGCCCCTGGAATATACTACCTGAGAAGAGTGTCTCTGTATACTCGGGGTTTGGGCCATACTGTATAGTTTATCCTAGCAATGTTTTTGGTAAACACCTGTTTTTGTTCATCTGCAGATCTGGGCCAAGATGTTATCAGTTTGACCTTTAGAAGTGTGGGGCACCAGAGCGGCTCAGTCGGTTAAGTGTCCAACTTTGGCTCAGGTCATGATCTCGCGGTTCGTGGGTTCGAGCCCCGCATCAGGCTCTGTGATGACAGCCAGCTCAGAGCTTGGAGACTGTTTCAGATTCTGTGTCTCCCTCTCTGTCCGACCCTCCCCTGCTCATGCTGTCTCTCTCTAACTCAGAAATGAATTTTTTAAAAAATTAAGGAGTGTGAAGCGTGAGTTCAGATCAGACATATGGTTACTCCATTCCTCCATAGTTAACCCCCAGTAAACACCTTGGGCGCTAAGGCAAAGGTGAACTTCCCTGGTTGGCAATATTCTATATGTGGTGTCACATTGTGGCGAAAGAATTAAGCACTGTCCATACAATTCCACTGAGAAAAGACACCTGGAAATATATACCTGGTTTCTCCTGGATTCTGCCCTATGCTTTTTACATTTGCTAATTTAATCTGTAACTTTTCACTATAATAAACTATATCCATAAGCACAGCAGCTCTTAAGAGCTTTTTCAATCCTTTTGGAGAATAATCAAATGTGAAGGTGGCTTTAAGGACCTGATATAACTGTCTTCCTATAATTTTTTTTCCTATGAGAACTTACTGATGGTTTGGAGGTCAAGCTCACTACAATTCAACCTTCTAAGAGCCACTGATATTTAATGACGTTTATCTTTCCATTATCAGTGCTTCATTAGGGTACTCTCAGGGAAAGTTTTCAACTGCATAAAAAGCTAAGACTTTTATTAAAAGGCTTTTACCACAATGAGTGTAACAAATTTTCCTTTCAAGTTTACTGTGACATAAAATAAGACATAATTGGTAACTGAAGGCACTACCACATTGAGAGCATCCTTAAGGTTTCTCTCCTGTGCAGATTCTCTGTTTTCTCCTCAAGGTGCACATCTAACAACAGGTTGTCCTACAAGAACTATATTCCTATCCGCACTCATGTTTAATGTCTGGAATACCACAGAAGGCCTTCCAGTCACCGTTTAACATGAGTTTTCCTCTTGTATGGGGTCTATGACACACAATGAGCTCGGATTCCCACAGAAGCAATTTTCCACCTTGACTGAATCTACACACGTCTCTCTCCTATGAGTTGTCTTGTGTTTGATGAGGCATGACTTGTGAGAGAAAGCTTTCCTACAATTGCCAGATCCATATGGTGTCTCTCTGTATGGATTCTCTGATGTTTACTGAGTACTGACTTTGTGGAACAGCCTTTCCCACATTCACTATATTCAGAGGGTTTCTCTCCTGTACGAGTTCTTTGGTGTCTAATGAGACCTGACTTCTGAAAGCACGATTTTCCACAGCCACTGCCTTCATAAGGAGCATCTCTGGTGTGAAATCCCTAATGTGCACCAAGCTGAGACTTCCTGGAGAAAGCTTTCTCACACTCACTGCATACATGGGGCTTCATTCTTCTTTCAGTTCACTGCTTTCCCACACAATACTTCACCACATTTAAGGCGTTTACATGGTTTCTCCTGGATGAGTTCTCTGCAGTGAGCTAAAACTTCCTGGAGAAATGTATCCCACTGCATCCATGGGGCTTTTGTTCTGTACGAGTTCTGGGATGTTCAGCGAGCACAGACTTTTTCATAAAGATTTTACCGCATTCAATACATTCATGATGTTTCTTTCCTTTTTCAATTTGATGTGTAGTGAATTGCAAATTGGTGCTGATGGTGTTTCTGTATTGCTGCATTTAATTCCAGTGTAACATTTTTTTTTAATGTTTTTTATTTATTTCTAGGAGAGAGAGAGAGACAGCATGAGCAGGGGAGGGTCAGAGAGAGAGGGAGCCACAGACTGAAACAGGCTCCAGGCTCCGAGCCGGCAGTCAGCACAGAGCCCGACGCAGGGCTCGAACCCACGAACCGCGAGATCATGACCTCAGCGAAAGTCGGACGCTTAACCGACTAAGCCACCCAGGCGCCCCTCCAGTGTAACATTTTTCATGCTTAATATGAGGAAATGATTTATCTGTTAAGCTTATCAGTGTTCTTCACTGCACAACTTTTATTCTGGTTAACTAATTCTAAATTAGAGTTCAGTATGTAAAACTATCATGACTTTGCCTTAAAGTAGTAAGATTTCTGTACAGATGAAACATTTCCAGATGAACTGTGTTCATAATCTCTTTCCATATTCTTAAGCTTGTTTTGGATTTCCAAAGGCCACAGCATATGATCACCAACTTCTCAAACTTCTAGGGAAAAAAATGAATTCTTTCACAATCATGTTATGGAATAAAACTGCTTCTATAATACCGTGGTTTGTGCTGGCTCTCTGACAACTCTACTGTCATATGAAAGAAATCATTAAGTGTAAATTTTTTTCTTGGACATGAGGAGAAACGCAATGAAATAAAATCATAACATACAAAAGAAACCAAAACCAAAGCAAACCAAAAAGAGTTGATACAGAATCAATGGTAGACAATTTCCAATTAGTGAAGTTTTGGTTGCTCTCCGAATAGATCCTTGCAAAATGGGCAAAGAGGATGAAGCAGAAATGTATCTCGTTAACACGGGACCAGGGAAGCTGGAGAGACATCTCATCTAACATGATGAGGGGATGTAGCCACTTATTTCTACCAATATTTACTGAATGTATATTATGTATCCTGTATTGTTAACAGCATTGGGATACAGATGAAAGAGAAACACTCTCTGCATTCCAGTGGGCAAAAAGAGAACAAAATGGAAGGAAAGAAATAAGACAACTGCAGACCAAAAAGTGGTTCAAAGAATATGAAAAAGAATGGAAGTTGGTTAATTTACACAGGTAATCAACAATGAGAAAATAAAAGTTGAGCCAAGAAACCAGGAACAAGGAATGTAAAGAATTACAGAAGGTTTTGTTTAAGTACAACAGCAGTGCAAAGGCCTGGAGACAGGAGAGGTTTGGGCCAGATCAAGAAACAGAAAGGTAACCAGTAGGCCCTGAGAGCAATTCCAATATAGGGAGAAAGAAGAGTTGATGTTCAAAAGGTAGACAGAAGTTAGATCGTGTAGATTTGAAAGGAGGAATTTGAATTTGATGCTAAGACCAGTGACAAGCCACTGGAAGGTTTGAGCAGATTGCATCAAGTTCTGATTTACATTTCTTTTTTTTTTTTTTAAATAGTTTATTGTCAAGTTGGTTTCCATATAACAACGAGTGCTCATCCCCACAAGTGCCCTCCTCCATGCCCCTCACCCCCCTCCCTCTTCCCCCCACCAGTCCTGTTTGTTCTCAGCATTCAAGAGTCTCTCATGGTTTGCCTCTCTCCCTCTCCCCCAATATTTCCCCCGCCTTCCTCTCCCCCACAGTCCTCCGTTAAGTTCCTCCTAATCCTCTTATATGTGCAAACAGATGGTAGCTGTGCTTCTCTGCCTGACTTATTTCGCTCAGCATAACACCCTCAAGTTCCATCCACGTTAGTACACATGGCTAGATTTCATTCTTTCTCATTGCCATGGAGTATTCCGTTGTATAGATAAACCACATCTTCTTAATCCATTCATCAGTTGATGGATCCTTAGGCTTTTTCCATGTTTTGGCTATTGTTGAGAGTGCTGCTATGAACACTGGGGTACATGTGCTCCTATGCATCAGCACTCCTGTATCCTTTGGGTAAATCCCTAGCAGTGCTATTGCTGGGTCATAGGGGAGTTCTATTGTTAATTTTTTGAGGAACCTCCCCACTGTTTTCCAGAGGGGTTGCACCAGTTTACATTCCCACCAACAGTGTCAGAGGGTGCCCGTTTCTTCACATCCTTGCCAGCATCTAGAGTCCTCTGATTTACTCATTTTAGCCACTCTGACCAGCATGAGGTGGTATCTCGGTGTGGTTTTGATTTGTATTTCCCTGATGAGGAGGGATGCTGAGCATCGTTTCATGTGTCTGTTGGCCATCTGGATGTCCTCTTTGGAGAACTCTGTTCACATCTTCTGGCCATTTCTTCACTGGATTGTTTGTTTTTCGGGTTTGGAGTTTGGTGAGTTCCTTATATATATATATATATATATATATATAAGAGATCTTTATGATGAAAACTATAGAAAACTTATGAAGGAAATTGAAGAAGACACAAAGAAATGGAAAAACATTCCATGCTCATGGATAGGAAGAATAAATATACTTAAAATGTCATTACTACCCAAAGCAATCTACACATTCAATGCAATCCCAATCAAAATTGCACCAGCATACTTCTCAAAACTAGAACAAACTATCCTAAAATTTGTATGGAACCACAAAAGACCCCGAATAGCCAAAGTAATAGTGAAGAAAAACCAAAACAGGAGGCATCACCATCCCAGACTTTAGCCTCTACTACAAAGCTATTATCATCAAGACAGTATGGTATTGGCACAAAAACAGATACATAGACCAATGGAATAGAATAGAGAACTCAGAATTGGACCCAAAAGTGTACAGCCAACTAATCTTTGACAAAGTGGGAAAGAGTATCCAATGGAAAAAAGACAGCCTCTTTAACAGATGGTGCTGAGAGAACTGGACAGCAACATGCAGAAGAATGAAACTAGATAATTTTCTCACACCATACACAAAAATAAACTCAAAATGGATAAAGGACCTGAATGTGAGACAAGAAACCATCAAAACCCTAGAGGAGATAGCAGGAAACAACCTCCTTGACCTCAAACATAGCAATTTCTTACTTGACACATCCCCAAAGGCAAGGGAATCAAGAGCAAAAATGAACTACTGGGACCTCATCAAGATTAAAAGCTTCTGCATGGCAAAGGAAACAATCCATAAAACTAATAGGCAAGGGATGGAATGGGAAAAGATAGTTGCAAATGACATATCAGATAAAGGGCTAGTATCCAAAATCTATAAGGAACTCACCAAACTGATTTACATTTCTAAAGGATTCCTGGGGCGCCTGGGTAGCTCAGTCGTTAAGCCTCCGACTTTCAGCTCAGGTCATGACTATCAGCTCAGGTCATGATTTCATGGTTCTGAGCTCTGCATCAGGTTCTGTGCTGGCAGCTCAGAGCCCGGAGCCTGTTTCAGATTCTGTGTCTCCCTCTCTCTCTGCCCCTCTCCCGCTCATGTTCTGTCTCTCTCTGTCTCAAAAAATATATAAACTATAAAAACATTTTTAAAATAAAGTAAAATAAAGGATTCCTGACTGTTACATGGATACTGATGGTAGGAGGCAGAGAAAGAGGAAACAGGAAGTTAATGTAGTAAGGGAGCCAAGAGATAATGGTGGCTGAGTCAAGAGCAGCAACAGTGGAGATTTGTCAAGTGGATGAACTCAGGATACATTTAGGAGAAAGAAAAGCCAACATTCAAAGTTGAATTTAATGTGGGCTGTGAGTAAAAGGGAGGAATTGTGGGGTTTTCCTAGACATTTGGCTTAAATGCCTAAGTACTAGCTATACTGTTGAGCAGCATCAGGAAGACAGGTTTTGAATGTGGGGAAAATCAGGTCTGTATTTTAAGACATGAACATTTTGAGATAGTTATTGGATATCTAAGTGTAGACAGGAAGGACTTGATTAGAGATAGGTATGTGGAGGAAGATTTTGACTAGAAGACAAATTTGGGGGTTATCTATATAGAAACATTAACTAAAGAGAAAGGTCTCTCTGAGAGAGTTAAAAACCAGGAAAATGATGACTCAGACTCAAGTCATCTTTATGCATTCTGAATTTTAAGGTTTTGTAAAGTGGAAATGCCCAGAGAATGAGGGAGGACCTTCCAGAAGCAAGAGAGAAGGGGCACATAACCAGGGAAATAAGCAGGTAAAAGCATTCACTTAGAACAAATTCTAGAAGAGGCAGGTCAGAAAGCAAAATTTCTTTCAGCGGATATCCTGCTCCTGAATCTTGTCTCTGTTATTAATTCAGTAACACTGCTACCAAGTTAATTTCCCAAAAGTGCCCTTCTCTTAAAATATGGGAAAGATTCCTGTAGTCAATGCTCTTTCTGTCTGAGATTATTCTCATATAGGGATGAGAAAGAGGATAATTCATGTGGATTTTAAAATTAGGCTTGGCTCGGTTGGGCATCCAATTCTTAAGACTCTTAATTTCCGCGCAAGTCATGATCTCATGAGTTTGAGGCCCACTATGGGCTCTGCACTGGCAGTGCAAAGCCTGCTTGGGATTCTGTCTCCCCCTCCTCTCTCTCTGCACCTTCCTACTTGTGCTCTCTCTCTCTCAAAATAAATAAACATTAAATAAATACATAAATAAATAAAAAATAAAATTAGGCCAGAGAACCATCTAAACCATCTAAGCACCCATTAGCAGAGCACTGCTGAACTGTCACTGTTTCAAGTCCCTTAAATAATGGAACTACAGACTATAATAGTTGGCTTTCTCCTGTTTCATTTCCTAAGCCCTCTTCTTGCCAATGATACTCCTGATTCTTCCTGAATTCTGTATTTATACCTTAGTTGTCATAGATCTGGAATTCATCAATTAATGGGTCCTCATTCCAGATCAAGAAACTAGGGCATTTAGACTTCCACTTGTTGTAGAGATTGGTTTAAACGAAGCTAACTTGGAATTCAGGGAATAGAAAGAAAACTAAATATAAGCAAAATATTGTATATTGGAGTCTTTGGATCACAGGACTTAAATATCATATAGTTGGTAATTGGGGTATAATTAAGATCTTTTAGACTAGGGAAATTAAACCAAGAGTAACAATTAAGATGAATCAAGAAGAAGATCTGATCCAGTAAATATATGTGGAAATCAGCTAAGTATCCATGAGTTTTATGGTTTGATTTCAAGTGAAACCTAAGATTGTGAATTTGTTTTTTTTTTTTTAATTTAAGTGAATTCCATTATTTTAGTACATTTGGGAGCTATAATTTATTCTGAAAATTACAAAATTTTAGCTCCTCCCTTACCATTACAGTATAAAAATTTTCAAACATACACAGAAATTGAAAGAATTGTACAGTGAACAGCCATATACCTGCCTCTCTGATTCTATAGTTAATATTTTGCTACACTTGCACATATTTATCCATCCAGAATAAAGAACTGAATACATACACATCAAAAGACCAGGTTGTTATGGGAACACAGTACTCAAAGTGAGCTGAATGTCAGGAAAGGAAATTACCCAATGAAGGAAGGTTCACTAGTCAGAAGACAGCAATGAATCTGAAGTATTCTCTTTCCAGAGAGGCATGGAAGATTGGATTCCTAATACAAGAGAAGAAGAAGGAACATACAATGGCCCTATGGGTGGCAATGAAAAAGGGAAAGATTTGAGAATCCTCAGTACAAAAAAAAAAAATCTAAGCAAAACAAATCAAGATACTAGATGAAGTAAATCAGGAACAAATCCAGAGGTGAGAACACAGGAGTATTCTCCTCTAAATAAGCAATGAATAACATAACAGAATAATAACTGTTGGTTCCATTTAAATAGAAATTAGAAACTAGAAGATGAGTCACCTCCACAGTATTTCAGAGGTGAGAGGCCCTCACAAATCAAGGAATTTACTTCTATTTTCTTCTACCTGGATGCTTCTCATTCACTTACCTGGAAAGCTCCAAGCGTGGTTTTCCTTTTCCATTTATGGTTTATCTCCTAGCTTCAATTTGAAGATCTCCATTGGTCTGGTACTTTGGTACCCTATTAGGAAAAATTACAGAATACTTGGAAAAATATATTTGGTCATAATATGCAGACATTGTTACATAATACCTTTTACAGATTGTGCAAGTGCACCTTGGACTAAGGCTTATCCTCAAGAGTGGGGAGACACTCCCCTGTCCACCCAGGAGACGAAGAATCTACCACTTACAAAGTCCAAGTCTTACATAGGGGACAGCCGACTACAGTCCATGGCTGTACCTAAGAAGAATTTCTACATTTTAAAGTTATAAAGAAAAAAGGAGAGTAAGATACCGAGACTGTAGCCCTTAGGGCCTACAGTATTTACTATCTGGCCTTCTGCAGAAAAAATTTTGCAATCTCTCTTACATTATTCAGCACTTCAAATACTCCCAAAAATCAGTCCACAACTGAAAAAGATGAGATGTCAGTTGGACACCCTGAGTGATTCCAAAGCAGGCTCCAGGCTCTGAGCTGCCAGCACAAACCCCAATACGGGGCTGGAACACATGAACTGCAAGATCTTGACCTGAGCTCGGGGTGCCTGGGTGGCTCAGTTGGTTAAGCGTCCGACTTCGGCTCAGGTCACGATCTCACAGTTCGGGGCTCTGTGCTGACAGCTCAGAGCCTGGAGCCTGCTTCAGATTCTGTGATTTCCTCTCTCTGTGCCCCTCCCCCACTCATGCTCTGTCTCAAAAATAAACAAACTATTAAAAAAAAAAAAAAAAAAAGATCTTGACCTGAGCTGAAGTTGAATGCTCAACTGACTGAGCCACCCAGGTGCCCCCATTTTTTTTAAAAAAGTGTATTTACTTTTGGGGGGTGGAGAAAGAGGGCAGAGCGGGACAGAGGATCTGCAGTGGGCTCTGCGCTGACACCAGAAAGCCCAATGTCAGGTTCGAACCCACGGATGCTGAGATCATGACTCAGCTCAGGTCATGATCTCACGGTCTGTGGGTTTGAGCCCTGAGTCAGGCTCTGTGCTGACAGCTCAGACCCTGGAGCCTGCTTCAAATTCTGTTTGTCTTTCTCTCTCTGCCCCTCCACCAATCATGCTCTGTCTCTTTCTCTCAAAAATAAACATTTTTTGAAAAATTTAATAAGAGTCTTATCGTTTGTTCCCTTCTCTTCTCTACCCCCTTCCCATATGCTCGTCTTATTTCTTACATTCCACATATGAGTGAAATCATATGGTATTTGTCTTTCTCAGATTCATTTATTTCACGTAGCATAATACATTCTGGATCAGCTATGAAAGCCCAGATTCTCCAGTGACTGAAACAAAAGAAGGGCCCCCAAGAAGGGCCCTTCACTGGCCTCCTACGCACTTCACTCCAAAGACACTGCAGAGTCCTACCCACGTGACGCCAAACTTCTCTACATTCCACCTTCTTTACCAAAGCCTGGACCCCCTTCTGAAATGACCTCCATTCTCACGCCCCCTCCCCCTCCCGGTGGTTGGCGACGCGTCAGGTGGAGGTGGAACCTTCACCACGTTCCTGGGAGCCCAGTTCCGCCCCCAGGTGCTCCTCAACACGGAAGTAGCCACGCCCACCTTGGCGACCACGGTCCAAGCGGCCAGCGGGGCGGCTGCCGAGAGAAACTGAAATGCTTTAGGGGTGTCTCCTTGCCTTTCCTGCCTTCCTGCTGGCTAGCAGCGCTGAGACGAATAAGCTTTCGGAGCGGCGCTGGCCCTGCGGTTTTCGACTTGGCCTTCTGGGAAGGTGGCGGCGCCCGCGAGGAGGACTGCGGGCCACTCCCGCAGTGAGGTAGTGCGGTCCCGCGCGGCGGGGAAGACCTCGGCAGCTCCGGGCTAGAGGCCTTCCCATGGCTCCGAGCTTTGCAGAAGCCAAGACGTAGGAAAGGCGGCGGCCAGACCGCGGACCAAACAATGGAGACTCCGAGTCCTGCGGAAATTTGGGAATGCGGCCCAGCGCGGATGAGAGTGAAGAACGCAGTCTGGACGAGGTAGGTCTGTGACCTGTTGGAGGGGCGGGGCTGCAAAAATGGACGCCCTCAGGGGCCTGGGTACGGGCTGCCTCCAGTAAGTAGTAGGTAGGTAGTAGTAGGCTGGAGGGAGCCTCCTTTCCCATCCTCTGCCACTCTCCCCCTCCCCCCGGCTCCAGCTCGTTCTAAAAAAAAAGGAGGAAAAACCTGACTGTACATCAGCAGGCAGTTTGATGAACTAAACCCATCCCTTCAACAGAAGTCAGGTCTATAGCCCTTAAAAAGCCAATTATAGGGATGCCTGGGTGGATCATTGGGTCAAGCGTCTGACTCTTGGTTTCGGTTCAGTTCAAGATCTCATGGTCTGTGAGTTCGAGCCTCAGAATCAGGCTCTGTGCTGACAGTGCAGAGCCTACTGGACATTCTCTCTCTTTCCCTCCCCTGCTCACTCTCTCTGCCTCTCTCAAAAATAAAGAAACTGAAAAAAAAAAAAGCCAACTATAAAACTATCAGTATTTTTAAATGACGTTTTGAAAGGATGAAATAGTGATCTCCACACAGTATTTATATGATCTTCTTATGGCAAAAATTCATAAACATAAGCATTTCAAAATTTTGAATGGATAAAGTAATCTTGAGTATATTAGGGGTTTGGGCTTGAGATTAAGAGAATTTTCACTGAGTATGTATCCACTAAATTCTAATCAAAAGATTTTACTAACAGCATCAAATATACTGCCTCATGCACGGCCACAGCTCCTCAAACTAGGGAGCTCTGAAATGAAGTCCTTCTCCCCTCCAGACTGACCTCTTATTTTCTTTCTCATCCAGCATCACTATTACACAACAAATCAAGAATGGAGGTGTGAGAGTTATCTGGATTGTAAATCATTGTACGTTGATGTGACAACATCAGGGATCGGCCCCAAACATGATCTATGTATTATCTTCACAGTCACCACCAAGAAATACATGAAACTGCAAGTCTATAAAGTGTTTACACGGAGAGACTGGGGAACCTGGCCAAGTGAGGGAAAGCCTCACTGAAGAAATGATAATTGAAGATGATGAAGGATGAAGAAACCAAAAAATGAGGGGTAGGGGGATCCCTTCTTCACAAGAACTAATAATATTTATATTATTATCACTTTTTCTGCTTTGTCCCGTTATAAACAGTTAAGTCTCTCACATCGCAATGAAAACACTCTGGGGTGACAATTCTATTCTTTAGAACCGTATTTCCCTTCAGTGACAAAATATACTTTGATAAGCCCATTAATATGTTCACTCACTTTCCAAATCTATATATATAATTAGGGTTTTTTCCTTTGTGCTAGAAGTATAAAATCATGGAAACCACTCTCCAGTATAATCTTGTGGTGTAATAGAAATGATGATAGATTCTCTCATTGTATCATGTTTTGGCTCAGTGTCAGTGCTGTCCAGTTCTACAGCCACTATTTACATGTGACTGTTGAGCACTTCAGATATGGTCAATGTGACTGAGGCAATGATTTTTCATCTTCCTGGTTCAGAGTTTTTTAAACATCAAAATTTAAAGCCACTAAAATTAGGGAATTTATAATCTTAAGGAGAAAAGAAATAAGCATTTTTACAAAAAAAGAAATACACATAAAAAATAACTTGTGCACTATAATCTTAATAACCATTAGTAAGTCTTTCCTCCATCCTCCAAAATCATGCTCCTTCAACAATAAATTGTAAAATATTCCCTTGAACCAATGACTCCATGTCTGTTTCACTCAATATAGATATTTATGTCTTTTTACTCGATTAGCTGGTGTGTAAAGGTACCATGTAAAGATAATTCATGGGGCACCTGGCTGGCTCAGCCAGTAAAACATGTGATCCTTAATCTATGGGTTGTGAATTCCACCCCTATGGTGAACAGAGAAATTACTTTAAAAAAGTAAGTTAAAGGTGATCAAGTTTACCTCATGCTCTCTCCAGGAGACCAGGGGCTATTTCTGTTTTGGCCACCACTATATATTCAGCTCCTAGAACAGGACCCAGTACAAATAAAGTATTTAACAAATACATCTGGCTGCAGGCTGTCCCACTAGGACTACATTCCTACTGCCAGAAGTCCACTGATGTTTAATAGTGTCTGACAAGCCACAAGCCAATGGAGAGTCACCATATTAAAAAGGTTTTCCAGGGCGCCTGGGTGGCTTAGTCGGTTAAGCGTCCGACTTTTGCTTGGGTCATGATCTCGCGGTTTGTGGGTTCGAGCCCCGCGTCGGGCTCTCTGCTGACTGCCAGCTCAGAGCCTGGAGCCTGTTTCAGTCTGTGACTCCCTCTCTCTCTAACCCTCCCCTGCTCACGCTGTCTCTTTCTCTCCTAGAAATAAATAAAAATATTTAAAAAAAAAAAAAAAAAAAAAGGTTTTCCTCTTTCAGGACAATACCGGTCTGTGAGGACCTGTGACTGAGGGAGAACTTTCTACCTTGACTAAATGAATTTTCTGATGTTTATTGAGGACTGACTTCCCTTGAAAAGATTTCCCACATTCAATCCATCTACATGTTTTCTCTCCTATATGAGTTCTCTGATGTATAATGAGCTGTGACTTCCCGAGAAAGACTTTCCCACACTGACCATATTCAAAGGGTTTCTCTCCTGTGTGAGTCCTTTGATGTTTAATGAGACCTGTCTTCTGGGAACAGGGTTTTCCACAGTCACTGCCCACAAAGGGAGTCTTTCCTGTGGCAAAATCTCTGATATGCTATGAGACATGTCTTTTGGCTGAAGCCTTTCCCACACTGGTTGCATATACAAGGTTTCTCTCCTGTATGAATCCGCAGATGTACCCTGAGACTTCCCTTCTGGATGAAGCCTTTTCCACATTCACTGCACATAAAGAGTTTCTCTCATGTGTGTGTCTTCTGATGTACACTGAGCCGTGATTTCTTGAGGAAGACTTTGCCACATACAGTGAGTGCATCCATAAGGTTTTTCTCCTGTATGTGCATTCTCTGGTGTTCAGTGAGCATGAACTTGCTGGAGAATGCTTTCCCACATAGACTGCATTTGTGAGGTTCCCGTTCTGCATGAAGATTCTGGTGATCACTGAACCAGGACCTTTGAATGAAGCATTTTCCATATTCACTTCATACATGAGGTTTTAAAATTTTCTGATGTTTGATGACTTGGCACTTAGTGCTGCTGAGTTTTTGGCGCCCCTGGAATAAAAGTATTAAGTAGCTTCACATGTGGGGCGCTTGGGTGGCTCAGTCAGTTAAGCATCTGACTTCAGCTCAAGTCATGATCTCACGGTTTGTTAGTTTGAGTCCTGCATCAGGCTCTGTGCGAACAGCTCAGAGCCTGGAGCCTGCTTTAGATTCTGTGTGTCCCCCCCCCCCCTCTCTGCACCACCCCCTCTCATGCTCTGTCTCTGTCTCTCTCAAAAATAAAAATAAACATTAAATAGCTTCACTTGAGGTGACTTCTGATGACCCTATTTTATAAATGTAAATAAAACTCCATGTTGGGGCGCCTGGGTGGCTCAGGCGGTTAAGCGTCCGAATTCGGCTCAGGTCATGATCTCACGATTTGTGGGTTCGAGCCCCGCATCGGGCTCTGTGCTGACTGCTAGCTCAGATTCTGTGTCTCCCTCTCTCTCCGCCCCTCCCCCACTTGTGCCTTGTTTCTGTCTCAATAATAAATAAACATTAAAAAAACTTTTTTTAAACAAAACCAAACCACAGAGGGTTTCAAACTACTCTTCGGAGCTCCGCAGCCTTCTGCCCCAGCAGTCCAGCTAAGAACTTCAACCCAAACTCCAGCCCCACGTCCTTGGCTCCAAAGCGTCAGCTCTCACAAATATCTCTGTACTAAACACTATCACACACGCCCTTATTAATCTGAAACCCAACGAGACACCCCGATGTGATGAGCACCCACCCGGGCCCCAACATCATGAGCCCCAAATTAAGTTCCCCAGGAACCAGACACTTCAATCATCGTAAAGATCTGCACCAGCCGCACCACCGACAAGCGGAGCGATCTGCAGAACCCCAAACTCTCGACAGCGCCGACATGGTCGTTGATTCCCTGTAGATCCTTAACCGTCTTAATGACCCCAGAAGTACCCCAACCACAAACACACCTGCCTGGTTCCCCTCAAAACCCTCAAATAGGGGCGCCACCTGGTTCTCCTTAAATACCTCCCTCTTGGCGCTTCTACCCTCCTCGACCGCCCCGGCAGTGATTTCATGGATCCATCCTACAGCAGGTCCACTCGTCGTCCTGTGAGAAGCAAAACCTCCACGGTGACAAATAGAAATACAAATAGAAATGGAAGAAATAAAAATAGAAAAACAACCTTCCAAGGACAAACCACACACAGACCGAGTTTCCCTCAGACCCACGGGGAGATTCTGAACGTGGATCTTCGGGAACTCCTCAGCGTACGGCGGCCGACGAGCACTGGGGACCTTCGAACAACGAATTTCTGGTATTTCCTACGAGGTATTATGTCCGCGCCCGCTCTCCGTGGCCGTGCGGGCGGCCATATTGGGACATCCGTCGTACTCAAAGCAAAAGGGCGGGTTTGCGGCCAGAAACAGGAAATGGCCCGGAAGGTGAGAACCCTCTGAAGGTATCTCATATCCTCAACGTCGACTTTGGCAGAAGGTTGGTAAATTTTCAGTCTGGAGCCTCAGGCTACCTTGTGTTCCACGGGCTTGCCAGGAAGTTTTATGACCAGGACGTATATTTATCCACTTTGCAGTTAAAGAAAAAAAAAAAAAGTTTCCAAACGGATGAGTAGGAGTTCAGGTGTCGATACCGCAGTAGAGAATGAACTAACTCCTGCTAAGAAAAAGTAGTGCGTCCAGTAAACGGACACCCACGCAAAGCTTGTGGCGGAAGAGTGTTTGAAGAAAGTGGTTTTTAAGAACACAAGACTTCCAGAAACTGGTACAATGTGAGGCTGGTCGTCACCCACTAGAGGGAAAGAGCGGCTGGGACGAGCCTAAATTGGGATTGCGATTGGGGAGAAAGGCCACCAAAAGTGAGGTCAACAAAGGTCCGGTGCCAATGAGAAAGCCACAGACTGAATCGATCCCAGTATGTGAGGGCGGTGGTGGTTAGTAACCCAGGATTTAGGACAAAGAGCGCCAAAATTAGGTGTACGTCAGGCCGGGGTTAAAAATGCCGAGTCCTGGACTCCAGCCCCTGAGGTTCTGGTTTAGGAGGTGTTGGGGTGTGACCCAAGAGTTTGCGTTGTTTCTCAGCGGATCGGAGGCAGGAGGCTCGTCACAAACAATCCATAGAAACAATTATTAAATGTTATGTGGTTAGTACTTTGATAGTGACTCCCCTCAATAGTTCTGTTTTAGCTCAAATTATATCCAGAAAAGCCCATGGACGGGGTAAGGAATAGGGAATAGAGCCTCGCCTATAACTACCTATTTATAATAGGACTATTTCTAGGCTTTCGCTTTCTTCATAGGATTTGTGGTTTCTAACCATTACTTAATCCACTTACTGTCTCTCCCTCCATAAATGCAGTTCCTGTACCTATTTTACTCACTAATGTATCCTCATTGTGCAGAATAGTGCCCTGCATTGTGTTTGTGCTTTAAAATCTACCTGAAGGAGCGAATACAAATATCCTAGTGTTTCATATTGAATTTTGAGACAGCCAAAGGATGGGAAATCTGTTTCTTTTCCTATGGGAGAACTCAGTTTATAACTTGGATAGGTGAGTAACTATGTGATAGTTATGAGATTAAAAGAAAATACTTGATAAGGAGAGGCCAATCCCAGAAGGAGGAGAGAGAATAATGAAGAAAAAGTGCATGTCTCAATTCAGCAGTGAACAGTGGAGCTGGACTTTGATATGGTGGCAACTCTCAAAGGTGATAGTTCTATAAATAACAAATCTCTTCTCCATGACACCCCTTAGGGACCTCGCCTCTCATCTCCTATATTCTCCTCCATTCTTAGAGACTAGGATTCCTGTCCTCCTGTTTATGCTATTTATTGAGGCTCCATTTTCCTTTCTGCTCTGCCTGGTTTATATTCAGTTACTGAGTTGCTAATCACACTCAGTTTGGAAGGAGACGTCTGTATTCTTTAAGAACTGCCTTCCAAGAACTCACTGCTTCCTTCAGTGACAAAATATTCAGACTAGTCCATTGGCTAATTCATTCACTTCCCAAATCAACATATTTGTCTTATTTTTTTTCTGTGCTGGGAATATAAAACCATGTAAACCAATACTCCCCAAGATAACTTTCTGAGAATTATAATAGACTTCTCTCAGTCTATGCTTTTTAGCTATATAGTTAGCCATACAGTTAGCTGTCCAATGAGATGGCCACTAGTCACATACTGTTGCGGAGTATTTGAAATTTGGTTTAGTGCAACTGAGGAACTGATTTTTTGTTTGTTTTTAAAACTTTAAAATTTAAACAGCAAAACAAAAATTATCAAAGAATTTTTAACCTATTTGGGGAGATAAGACATGGACATGAAAAAAATAACTTACATTCTAAAAGCCCTTTAAAGTCCACTAAGAGTCCTTGCCCTCCCTTGAAGTAATATACTCCTTGGACAAGAAATTCTCATACCCCTTGAACCAATACAGTGGTCACCCCTTCTATCCATGGTTTGGCTTTCAAGGCTTTCAGTCACCTAAAGTCAAAACGTGGCCTAGAAGCAGATGATCCTCCTTCTAACATCAACAGTAGCCTAATGCTAAAACAGTCACAACTCCTACATGTCACTTCGTATCATGTAGGCATTTTACCATCTCACATCGCAGGAAGAAGGATGAGTACAGGACAATAAAATATTTTGAGAGAACACATTTACATAACTTTTATATAGTGTATTGTTATAAGTATACTATTATTTATTGATGGCAATTTCTTACTGTGCCTAATTCATAAATTAGACTATCATGGGTGTGTATGTTCAAGAAAAAACATACTATGGGGGCACCTGGGTGGCTCAGTGGGTTGAGCATCCGACTTTGGCTCAGGTCATGATCTTGCAGTTCATGAATTGAAGCCCCACATCAGACTCGCTCCAGTCAGTGCAGAGCCTACTTCGGATCCTCTATCCCCATCTCTCTATCCTCCCTGGTTTGCACACTCTCTCTCTCAAAAATAAACATTAAAAAAAAAAAAAAAAAAAAAGAACAAACGTACTCTGTATAGGGTTGAGTACTATCCCAGCTTCAGGCATCCCCTGGTGGTCTTAGAATGTATTCTCCACATATAAGAGGGGACTACCATACTCTATATCTTCTATGGACTACTGTGTCCCCCCCAAAATCATATATTGAAGCCTAATCCCAAATATGATCGTATTAAGGAGTGGGCCCTTGATGGAGCATCTGGGTGGCTCAGTTGGTTAAGTGTCCAACTTTGACTCAGGTCATGATCTAACAGTTCCTGAGTTTGGGCCCTGTGTCGGGCTCTGTGCTGACAGCTTTGAGTTTTGTGACTCCCTCTCTCTCTCTCTGCCCTTCCCCCACTCACTCTCTCTCTCAAAAATGAATAAACATTTTTAAAAATATTAAAAAAAAGAAGCAGGCTCTTGAGAAGTGATTAGGTCAAGAGGATGTAACTAACACTCATGAATGAGATCAGTGCCCTTGTAAGACGTCCCAGAGAACACCCTTCCCCTTCCCCTATGTGAGGACAGTGAGATGACTACCTTCTATGAGCCAGGAAGCAGACCTTCAATGGGCAGCAAATCTGCCAGCACCTTCATCTTGGACTTTGCAGCTTCCACAACAGAAATATATTTTTTTCATTTTTTATTCAAGACTTCTCATACTTAGAAAGTTTTGAAACATTCATTATGTAGAAACTTTGTACTTTTTGGTTTAATAAATTTTTTTTATAAGCCATCCAGGCTACAGTATTCTCTTGCAGTGAACAGAGCAAACCAAGACTACTTCACCTAGTGTGGATATTTCCACCCTCTTATTAGATGAGCTGGTGTGTAAATGTACCACTTAAAGATAATCCAGTAACCTCAGTGCTGTCTCCAGGAGACCAGGGGCTTTTTCTATTTTTGGTCACTACTGTATCCTCAGCTTCTGGAACAGCACCCAGTACAAAGGGAGTATTTGACAAATACTCCATAAACAAATGAACTGACTCTGTCTAAGGCTGCTGCTTCATGAGTGCTTCTGTATAAAATACACTTTTAAGAGCTTATGGCAGATACCCCAGTTTCCAATTAATCCTTCACCTTGGCCTGGGGAAACTGAATTGATACATGCCCCATATCCCACCCACCCAGCATTAGCCCTTTCCTGATTTTTCATTCATAGCAGCATTCCAGATACAAATTATCTTGTATGTTTTTAAAATTCACTTACTTACTTCCTCTACTTAGTTGAACTCAGACTTCCTCCATTCCTTTAACAGGCAATAGAGGAACTGATGTGTACGTATTTGGGTTAACATCATATTATGCCTCTCTATCAATGCATATTTTTTAATAGGATGAGGAGATCAGGCTTTCCCAACCTCAGCATTTATGCAATTCCCTACTTTTCAGCCATATACGATCTAGAAATTTTTGCTCAATCCTTCTCCACATAGCATGTCTCCGAGCTTCCTCCTACTGGTTTTCTATGACATAAAATAAGACATAATTAACTACAGAAGGCACGAACACATTCACCGTATTCATGTTTCTGTCCTGAGCAAACCCTCTGTTGTCTCCCAAGGGTGCGCATCTGGCTGCAGGCTGTCCCACTATGACCACATTGCTATTTGCTAAGAGTCCCCTGATGTTTAATGGCGTCTGACAAGCCACAGAAGGCATTTGCATCGTCATTGTGTTAACAAGGCCTTTCTCCTGCACAGCACCACTAGTCTGTGATAAGCTGTGACTCTCTGAGGGAGGATTTTCCACTTTGACTGCATCTCCACATGTCTCTCTTGTGTGTATTCTCTTATGTTTAACAAGACAAGACATGTAGGCAAAAGCCTTCCCACACTCATTGCAGACGTAGGGTCTCTCGCCTGTGTGAGTTCTTTGATGGACAATGAGCTTTTCCTTTGTGGTAAAGGCTTTCCCACACTCACTGCATTCAAAGGGTTTCTCACCCGTGTGAATTTTTTGGTGTTTAATGAGACCTGACTTCTGGGAACAGGATTTTCCACATTCACTACACACAAAGGGACTCTTTCCTGTGTGATGTCTTTGATGTGCTATGAGACAGGTCTTCTGGATGAAGCCTTTCCCACATTCACTGCATATATAAGGTTTCTCTCCTGTGTGGATGCGCTGATGTACAATGAGATTTCCATTCTGGATAAAGCCTTTTCCACATTCACTGCAAATGTATGGTTTCTCTCCAGTATGTGTTCTCTGATGTATTTTGAGCCGCGATTTCTTGAGGAAGGCTTTGCCACATTCATTGCATTCGTAAGGTTTTTCACCTGTATGCATTTTCTGGTGTTCAGTGAGCATGAACTTTCTGTTGAAAGCTTTCCCACACAGACAACATCTGTGAGGTTTCTCTCCTGTATGAATGATCTGATGATCAGTGAGGCAGGACTTCCTCTTGAAGGCTTTCCCACATTCACTGCATACATGAGGCTTCTCTGTTTTTTGTGTTTTCTGATGCTTGCTGAATTGGGACTTAGTGCTGATGAGTTTTCTGCTTCCAGGGGGTTTAATTTTAGTATGAAATTGTTCATTATTAGTGTGGAAAAAGGATTTTCCATATATATCATGATTTTGCTTTAACATGGAATGAGCTGTGCTCTGATGAACAGTATTTTCAAATGTCTTATGTTCATACCATCGTTCTAGGCTATTCTCTATGATTTCATTTTTTAAGTGCTCCTGTAAATAGTCATCAAGTTTCCATATTTCTAGGAAAGAAAAGAAAAATGACTTCATTCATCATCTTGATTTGGAAGAAAGATTACTTAAAAACTACCTTGATGTGTCTACTTAGTGATGATCCTATGAAATTAGGATCAATAAAACTACATTTTAATGTTCCTGGCACATCAGATAAAACGATAATATAAATAACCCAAAGGATAAAAGTAGTTACCGTAAAAACAAGGTTAGATCATTCACAATGAATAAATACAGATTTGACTCCTTTCTAAAGGAGGCCTTGCAAAACATGCAGAGACTATGAAATACACACAATTTACCGTGAGCAGTAGACCATGGGTTGGAGGGCTACCTGATCCAAACTGGTGAGAGACAGACTCCTTCACTTCACAAATCCTTACTGCTGACTGCAGTGCACAGGGCACATGCTCATGTTGGGGACACACACACAGAGTCCTCATGTTCAGGGAGCCTACATTGCCATTGGGTGAAACCACTGACAGGGCAAAGAAGGACACAAGGAATACAGCTACAGGTTGTGAAAACAGATGGGAAGGAACACCGGAGATGGAGAGTGGTGCAGGAAATCAGGGTACACTCGGAAAACGGGCCTCCCTGGAGGATTTATTGTCGTGGTTGCCCTTGGGGAGCAACAATAATGATACACACTGGGCTCCAAGCACTTCAATGTAACCTACAAATTCCAAAAAGGAACTTCTGATTTCCCATCCCAGATCTCCTCCTCCACACAGCACCTCCATCACAGTGAATGACAACTCCAGTCTTCCCTTTAACCAGGACAGAACTCAGCGCCTCCTGTCATCGGTCTCTCTTGCTCAAACATCGCTCACCTCAGTGATCAATCCCACCTGCCCTCTTTATAATCATAACCAGAACCGGATCAACACCAATGCCCTCCATCTTCATGGAAGCCAATTTCTTTCTCATTCTACAGCAGCAGCCTTCTACTTGGCCTTCCTAGTCCTCCCCTGCCAGGTCCTGTCTTCTTCTGCACAAAAGCCAAAGTGATCGTTTCAAACATAAGTTACATCGTGTCAAGCCTCCTCTACTTGAAACTCCCTAATATTTTCTCATCTCATGAGGATTAAAATCAAGGTCTTAACATGTCCTTGAAAGGCCCTTATGTGACCTGCTACCCCAACTCCCAGTCACTGCCCCACTGACCTTCTCTCCAGTCTTGCTCTGTCCACTCTTCCTAAATTCTTGAGACCACACTTCTGCCTCAGGCCTTTGAACTTTCCAGTTTTACTTTGGAACATTCCTTACCCACGGAGCTGCTCACATCTCTCATCTACTTGCTCAAATGTACCTTAAGGATTTCCTAATCCTCAAATCACAGCCAAGGCCAAGCAATCATTCTTCAATTATGCTGTTTTAATGTTCCTTTTAGCCATTTTCACCCCCAGTGTCTTACATTCAACCTCCATCCATTCCTTCCTCTTATAGCCCATATTTACTTAAATGTCAAATCTCATCTGCCCTCCGTTTTGACTGTATCCAGAACATGACCAAAACTTCCCTTCCACCCATTCCAAAGACAATCTGTCATGTTGTACGACAGCCTCCTACATGGCTTTCCTGCTTACGCCCCTGCCAGCTACTGTCTACGCAGCAGAGGAATTCTTTGAAAACATAATTATTACATGTCACTTGCTATGCTCTCAGGCGCCTGGGGGGCTCAGTCTGACTCTTGATTTTGGCTAAGGTCATAACCTCACCGTTTGAGATTGAGCCCTGAGGTGGGCTCTGCAATGACAGCATGGAGCCTACCTGGGATTCTCGCTTTGCCTCTCCCTCTCTGCCCCTCCCAAGCCTGACCTATCTCTCTCTCTCAAAATAAATAAACTTTAAAAAAAATGAACTTGCTATGGTCTCTACTTGGAACATTCCCAATCCAGCAGCCTAGTAACTTCCCTTACTTCTTGGCTCTAAGGCACCTTATCAGGGGTGTTCCATTCCTAAAGAGGAGATCAAGACCCTACTGTTCCATGATGGTGACTAAGTTTCTCTATTTAAGTGTTTACTTATTTTTAAATATTTACTTATATTGACAGGGGGTGGGGGGGGGGCAACGAGGGAGGGGAACAGGGGAACTAAAGCAGGCTCTGCACTGACAGCAGTGAGCCTGACATGGGACTCAAATTCACAAACCATGAGATCATGACCTGAGCCAAAATCAGATGCTTAACTGACTGAACCACCCAGGTGCCCCTGTGACTAAACTTTTATCACAGTACTTTTCACTCTGCTAGACATATTATTTATGTGTCTATTTTGATTATCTTATTTCTTCTCTTAGAATGAAAGCTCTTGGCCTATTTCTATGCATTTTTCTTACTGTTCTTGCCCTCAAGTACACACAGCTAATATACCAGAAAATAATTTTTAAAGGAATGAATGAAGGAAGCAGTCACATGTATTGAACACATTGGGGAGAATGTAGGAGAGATGATGAAACTCTGCCTTTGTGTGAACGAGATGGTACATCATAGAGATGACAGAGGAATTTCATGTCATACAACAGGTAACATAGTTAACTGGGATTCAGTGTCATCAGATACAATGGAAAAAATGCAAGTTTTAGGTAAATGAACACAGCGGTGTAACATCTACAATGAACAAGAAGAAAGTTCAAAATTAGTAAATACACAACGGAATTAAAGTAGGCATAAGGTATGATCTGGAGCTTAGGGTCCAGAGAATAGAGGATGTTAAAATATCTTTTTAGTTAAAATTCAGGAACAACTGGCTCCTTTAAAGAAGAGCGCTCTGCATGTAGGGAACATCTGAGGTCATGCCTGGACAGCCAGGATATAAGATGCCCAAGAATAAAAAAGAACCGAAACTTACAGAGGTTTTCTAGGAGGGAAGAGGAGGTGAGTTCTTTGTAGTCATTGGGAACTCAGGAGTCGCCATGGGGATGCATGAAAATATGAATTATTGGAATGCAGAAAAGTATGAAGGACTAGGAGACCAGATGAGAAGATGGAAAACAGAACCTTGGGAGAACTTTAGCGTGAGGACAAGGGCACAGTGCAGACTCTAGGGACCCAGCATCCAGGCTGGGTGGATGTTAGGAAGGAAAACCGACACTACCAATGGGACAGAGGGGTACAGTAGTCAGAAGACAGTGAGGAATTCAAAGTTTTCTCTTTGGAGAGAGGCCCTTGGACAGTGGATTTTTATAGCAAGAGAGGTACAAGAGTATGAAGAGGAAGGGAAAATCAGAGAATCCTAAGAAAAAGAAAACGATGCAGACAAACAAAAACTTAAGATGTAGATAAAAATGGAATAGATCCCAGAATAGGTAAAGGGTATATTTTTCTCTAAACTCCTACAAAGAAAATGAGGTTGCACGATGGGAGAGAGATGCATGGAGGCACTGCCTACCTATGCTCAAACCTTCTCACAGCTGTAACTCTTATCTGACCAACTCGAATATGATTTGCACAGCCTAGCCCCCTCCTGTCCTCTGACTCACCTGAACGGGTGTGACAGAGGATGTCATCTTCCACTGTTCCTACTGGTTTCCCTTGATTGAACCTGGTGAGCACATCTGGTTTGCTGGGGTGAAAACCTGTTCATGGGAAATGACAGAAGACTAAGCATTGGGCTTGAGGTCTGAGAAAACCACAGAATGTTATAGTTGGAGACAAAACAATTTTCACATTATAACGGAAAAACACTGCCCTGCATATCTTCTCTCCTGTTGATACTCCACTACAGTACTTGACTTCTGACACCCGCTCCATGGGGTTTTCACACATCAAGGAATTCTGTGACACTAAAGGACACGGACTGGGTGTCTGACAATTCAGATTGGTTCTGACAATCTCCACCTGGTGACGGCTTCAGATCCACAGGTTAGGGGTTCGCTCCCACAAGACTGTACATCTGCATTTCAGATACCAATCACAAGTCCAAGTTGTTTCTTGGGCTTCTGATGGACTAAGTATGGATTAGTGGTTTCCATGACCCCTTTTTCAGGTTTAATTAATTTGCCGGGGCAGCTCACAGAACTTAGGAAAACAGTTTACTTATTACATTACTGATTTATTATAAACAGATAGAACTCAGACACAGCCCAATTAAAGAGATATACAGTAAAAGGTATGTGGGAAGGGACACAGAGAGAGCTTCAACAATCTCTCTGAGCACCCCACATTCCCCACACCTCTGTGTGTTCACTAATTCAAAAGGTCTATAAACCTGTTCTTTTGGGTTTTTATGGAGGCTTCATTAAGTAGGCATGATTAATTACATTAAATCATTAGCTTTTGGTGACTGATTCAAACTTCAGCTGTTCTCTCCTCCCCAGAGGTGAGGTGGAATTGAAAGTTGCAACCCTCTAATCATGGTTGATTCCCCTGACAACCAGATCCCACCCTTAGGTTATATAGTGGCTTTCCAAAATCACCTCATCAACATAAACCCAAATATGGTTGATAGAGTCTTGTTATATAAATAACAAAAGACACCCATTTTACATTTATCTTCTTATAGAACATAGGAAATCACAACTGTTATGGGAGCTCTGTGCAAAAATTAGAGATGAAGACAAAAAAAGATATATATGCATACATATACATACATATGCATGTACATATGTGTGTGTATATATATATATATATATACAAAAGCATACATGTATATACATATATGTATATATCTCACAATATCATACATTTGTACAAAGTAAAGGTTTTGCACTCAGGCGAAGGGAGAACATACCCATGTCTCTGGAGCCAGGGAGGGGAGTGAGAATCTAATTTCAGAACAGCACACATACTCCAGAGCTTTAAGAAGCCGAGAAAGGAAAGGCCACTGATAGGGACCCTCTGAGTGACACAGGGGAGCTGTCCTCACCCACTGACACCAGGTTCCTATAGTTCTCCAACATCACATCCTGGTACAGGCTCTTCTGAGCAGGGGCCAGGAGCTGCCACTCCTCCCACGTGAAGTTCACAGCCACGTCATCAAACGTCAGGGATTCCTGTAATAATAGTGCTCTCTAATGAAGTCATGTCCTTTTGATGGTATGAAAGAAATGCTAAAATTTTTCTGCCTATTTCCACTCTATAGGCTTCATCTAGATATGCAGTGGGGCTGTCCTTTTGGCACAATGTGGACAATGCAAATAACTAAATATTCTGTAACTGTGCACTCAATCATCCATCCATTCATCCAATGAGAAGTTTCTATAACATGTAGAAATTCAATCTTCTCATTAACTTAGAAACACCATCCATATGGAGATGACAGGCAAAAGATATATGTATATATACTTTTCAGATTAATGGAACTGATTTTTTACAGGCCTCTACAACTCCATTAGGGAACAAAGGAAAGAATAAAATAAACCAAAAGTCACCTGAGCCTGGATCATTTTTCTGCTCTCTGAAAATAGCTCGCTGTGGGGAAACTGCTTTGTGTCTTCTGGGTCTACTCTTCTCTTCAGAAATCTCCGTCCTGGATGAGCACTGGGTATTAACATGTAAGTGACGAAACACTAAATTCTATTCCTGGAAAAAATAAGAAAATATATTTTGATTTTTAAAAAAAAAAGCAGAGGGGCACCTGGGTGACTCAGTCGGTTAAGTGTCAGGTCATGATCTCACGGTTTGTGAGTTCGAGCCCCATGTTGAGCTCTGTACTAATAGCTCGAAGCCTGGAACCTGCTTCAGATTCTGCATCTTCCCTCTCCCTGCCCCTCCCCTGCTCATGCTCTGTCTCTCTCTGTCTCTCAATACTCAAAAAAAGCTAATAAATGTTTAAAATTTTATTTAAAAAATAAATTTAAAAAAATAAAGCAAAATGAAAACATGAACACGTTTTTAAAATGGGGCTTGTCCTACTATCAGGAATTTATCCAAAGGATACAAAAATGCTGATTCAAAGGGGCACATGCACCCCAAAATTTATAGCAGTGCTATCAACAATAGCCAAAATATGGAAAGACCCCAAATGTCCATCAACTGACAAATGGATAAAGATGTGGTATATATATACAATGGAACATTACTCAGCAATCAAAAATAATGAAATCTTGCCATTTGCAACAACATGGATGGAACTAGAGAGTATTATGCTAAGGAAAATAAGACATCAGAGAAAAAGAGATATCACATGATTTCACTCATATATGGAATTGAGAAAGTCAACAGATGAACATAGGGGAAGGGGAGGGGAAGAAAAGATAAAAACAGAAGAGAGGGAGGCAAACCATAAGAGACTCTGAAATAGGGGCGCCTGGGTGGCTGAATTGGTTAAGTATCTGACTTCAGTTCAGGTCATGATCTCATGGTTTGTGGGTTTGAGCCCCACATCAGCTAGCTCAGAGCCTGGAGCCTGTTTCAGATTCTGTATTTCCCTCTCTCCCTGACCCTCCCCTGCTCATGCTGTCTCTCTCTCTCTTTCTCTCTCTCTCAGAAATAAATAAAACATAAAAAAAGAGAGAGAGACTCTGAAATAGAACACGACAGGGATGTCCACTCTCACCACTGTTGTTCAACATAGTATTGGAAGTCCTAACTTCAGCAATCAGACAACACAAAGGAATAAAAGGCATCCAAATAGATAAGGAGGAAGTCAAACTTTCACTCTTGGCAGATGACATGATACTCTATATGGAAAACCCAAAAGATTCCACCAAAAAACTGCTAGAACTGATCCACGAATTCAGCAAAGTTGCAGGATACAAAGTCAATGCACAGGAATCAGTTGCATTTTTATACACCAATAATGAAGCAGCAGAAAGAGAAATCAAGGAACTGATCCCACTTACAATTGCACCCAAAACCATAAAATACCTAGGAATGACTCTAACCAAAGAGTTGAAAAATCTGTACACTGAAAACCATAGAAAGCTTATGAAAGAAATTGAAGAACACACACACACACACACACACACACACACACACAAAACGAAAAAACCATTCCATGCTCCTGGATTGGAAGAACAAATATTGTTAAAATGACGATACTACCCAGAGCAATCTACATATTCAATGCAATCCCTATCAAAATAACACAGCATTCTTCACAGAGCTAGAACAAACAACCCTAAAATTTGTATGGAACCAGAAAAGACCCCGAATAGCCCAAGCAATCCTGGAAAAGAAAACCAAAGCTGGAGGCATCACAATCCTGGACTTCAAGCTGTATTACATGGCTGTAATCATCAAGACAGTATGGTACTGGCACAAAAACAGACACTTAAGTCAATGGAACAGAATAAAGAATCCAGAAATGGACCCACAAATGTATGGCCAACAAAGAAGCAGGAAAGAATTTCCTGACTACGCAGGAAAGAATATCCAATGAAATAAAGACAGTCTCTCCAACAAACGGTATTGGGAAAACTGGACAGCAATATGCCGAAGAATGAACCTGGACCTCCTTCTTATACCATACACAAAAATAAACTCAAAATGGATGAAAGACTTAAATATAAGATGAGAAGCCATCAAAATTCTAGAGGAGAAGGCAGGCAAAAACTCTTTGACCTTGGTCACGGCAACTTCTTACTCAACATGTCTCTGGAGGCAAGGGAAACAAAAGCAAAAATTAACTACTGGGACCTCGACAAGATAAAAAAGCTTCTGCATGGCAAAGGAAACAAACAGCAAAATTAAAAGACAGACAACAGAAAGGGAGAAGATATTTGCAAATGACATATCAGGTAAAGGGTTAGTATCTAAAATCTATAAAGAGTTTATCATACTCAACACCCAAAACACCAATAATCCAGTGAAGAAATGGGCAAAAGACATGAATAGACACTTCTCCAAAGAAGACACATGAAAAAATGCTCAATACTACTCATCATCATTGAAACACAAATCAAAACCACAATGAGATACCACCTTACACTAGTATGAATTGCTAAAATTAACAACTCAGGCAACCACAGATCTTGGTGAGGATGTGGAGAAAGAGGAACCTTTTTGCACTGCTAGGTGGTAATGCAAACTGGTTAAGTTACTCTGGTACAGTATGGAGGTTCCTCCAAAAATTGAAAATAGAACTCCCCTACGACCCAGCAATTGCACTACTAAGTGTTTATCAAAAGGATACAGCATTACTGATTCGTAGGGTCACATGTACCCCAATGCTTATAGCAGCACTATCGACAATAGCCCAATTATGGAAAGACCCCAAATGTCCACCGACTGATGAATGAAGATGTGATACACACACACACACACACACACACACACACATATACACAAAAATGGAGTATTATTCTCTATAATGAATTAAGATGTCATATATATTACTCAGCAATCAAAAAGAATGAAATCTTGCCATTTGCAACAATGTGGATGGAACTAGAATGTATTATGTTAAGCAAAATAAGTCAGAGAAAGACAATTATCATATGGGTTCACTCATATGTAGAAACTAAAGTATAAAACAGATGGACATAAAGGAAGGGAAGCAAAAATAATATAAAAACAGGGAGGGGGTGGAAAAAAACTAAAGCTAAAAAAACAGGGAGAGGGACAAAACATAAGAGACTCTTAAATATAGAGAACAAACCGAGGGTTGCTAGAGGGATTGTGGGGCGGGGGATGGGCTAAATGGGCAAAGGGGTATTAAGGAAGACACTTGTTGGGATAAGCACTGGATGTTATATGTAGGGGATGAACTACTGGATTCATTAGTGTACTATATGCTAACTAACGAAAGAAGGATGGAAGGAAGGAGAAAAGAAAGAAAAAGAAAGAGAGAGAGAGAGAAAGAAAGAAAGAAAGAGAGAGAGAAAGAAAGAAAGAAAAGAAAGAAAGGAAGGAAGGAAGGAAGGAGGGAAGGAAGGAAGAAAGGAAGAAAGAAAGAAAGAGGGGCGCCTGGGTGGCTCAGTCAGTTAAGCGTCCGACTTTGGCTCAGGTCATGATCTCATGATTTGTGGGTTCGAGCCCCGCGTCAGGCTCTGAGCTATCAGCACAGATTCAGATTCTGTGTCTCCCTCTCTCTCTGACCCTGCCCTACTCACATTGCCTCTCTCTCTCAGAAATAAATAAAACATTAAAAAATTTTTAAAAAGAAAAGAGAAAGAAAGAAACCAAAATTCTACTTTGAATCATTATTAAAGAGAAGTGTGATTTGAGAGAGAGAGAGACTTTTAAATACAGAGAAGAAAACGAAGATTGCTGGAGGGGAGGTAGGTGGGGGAATGGGGTAAATGGGTGATGAGCAGTAAGGAGGGCACTTTTCAGGTGAGCACTGGGTGTTATACGTAAGAGATGAATCACTAAATTTTATTCCTGAATCCAAGACTCTGCTGTATGTTAACTCTCTTGAAAATAAATCAGAAAAAGAAAAAAAAAATCTCAGTTTTTAGTCAGATGTATCCCATAAAAACTGACACCATATCCATAACTTCTTTCTCCTTCACATGATCCTTTTTCCTCCTGGGGCATCAGGACCTGTGGGTTGAGGAGACAATGTAGTCTGAGTGGTGTACTTCTGGGCCCAGATGCTGGGCACTCACCTTGTAACACACACCCGTAGTATTGCTAAGTGTCCCTTTATTTATTTTTCAGTTTATTTTGAGAGGGAGAGCACAGGCAGGGGAGGGGCAGAGAGAGGGAGAGACAGAATCCCAAGCAGTCTCCACATTGTCAGCACAGAAGCCCAATGCAGGGCTTGAACTCACAAACAGTGAGATCACGACCTGAACCGAAATCAGGAGTCGGACACTTAATCAACTGAGCCACCCAGGCACCTCTACTCAGTATCCCTTTATTTGATGCCCCAGAGGATTTATTCTTCTGGCCAATAATGCCTGAGGTTCTGAATGTGGTGAAGGTTTTCCTTCATTCTGTGATGTGTAAGTGGGGGAGTCTGACCAAGAAGAGGAGAATGGGATCCACCCCAATACCATGCTTCAGGAGAAGGAGAATCCGGCAGACCACTTTCATACAACAGACCACACAGAAATAGAGGATTGGGGCACTGTTTTCCTTTAAACCACATGTGCTCAAGTACATCTTCAAAGCTTTTTGTACAGCCTTACAGGCACTTCAGTTTGAAAACCAACATACTGGGAAAATCAGAAGCATTGTCTTATAAGCAATAATGGTAATGTCTTAGGAGGTTTTTAAATACATAAGAAACGAAAGTACAGAATATTGTAAATAAGTTGGAAAGTGGTGGGGCACCTGAGTGGCTCGGACTTGTCGGGATCTGTGCTGGGCATGGAGCCTGCTTGGGACTCTCTCTCTCCCTCTCTCTCTGGCTCTTCCTCGTTCATTCTCTCTAAAAAACAAAAAAATAAAAATAAATTGAAAAGTGGTAAGTGAAGTTGAAGTGTTCTAAGATTTCTGCATCACTGGAGAAGAGTGTGAAAGTACTAATTAACATGAGAATCTGACAAAGGAAGGCTCCATGCTGTACGTAATGTCTAGTATCCTGATGAAAACTAATAATTGTCTTGATGTACATAATTTTCATGCTAACAGAAGGGGAAAATATAATGACAAGAAATTCATCCAAAACAAGGCAAAAAGAAAAAAAAGAATAAAAAACTGAGAACAAGTGGGATAACTACAATGTGCTTAGATGACTGTTTTTAAACCAAACATACTAATAATTACATTAAAGATTATATTAAGGAAAACAAGGATTCCAGTTAATTACATCAAACACAAATGCCTCAAAATTGTCGAACTGGATTAAAATTTAAAACCTGATAACATGTTGGGGCACCTGGGTGGCTCAGTCGGTTAAGCGTCCGGCTTCAGCTCAGGTCATGATCTCATGGTTCATGGGTTCGAGCCCTGCATCGGGCTCTGTGCTGACAGCTAGCTCAAAGCCTGGATACTGTTTCAGATTCTGTGTCTCCCTCTCTCTCTGACCCTCCCCTGCTCATGCTGCCTCTCTCTCACTCTCAGAAATAAATAAAACATTAAAAAATTAAAAAAACAAACAAACCAAACAAACAAAACCTGATAACATGCTTTTATAGGTTACATGTTGGAAACAATGTCATGGAAAGCTCCAGAATAAAAGAATAGAAAAAAGGTATACCATGGAAAGAGTAAACATACATGTATAACTATACTCTCAGACAAAATGGACCAAAAAGCCCAAAAATTACTAAAGAGAAAGAGAAACAACACTCACTGGTTAAGAGGTCCAATTCACCACATTATAACAATTTGAATTTCTATGCAAGTAATTCAACATGCAGCCTTGAAATATATACAGCAAAAATGGACCTGTGGTGCCTGGGTAGCTTAGTCACTTAAGCCTCGGACTTCAGCTCAGGTCATGATCTCATGGCTGGTGAGTTTGAGCTCCACATAGGGCTTTGTGCTGACAGCTGAGAGCCTAGAGCCTGCTTTGGATTATGAGTCTCCCTCTCTCTCTGTCCCTCCCCCGCTCTCACTCTGTCTCTCTCAAAAATAAACGTTTAAAAATATTTTTAAATAAATTGCATTTTCATTTATATTTATTTTTGAGGCCTCGCTCAAAATAATATAAATTATAAATGTTGGAAATCAGAATGAAAATTAAGGTTATAGGTTATACTCAGATAACATCATCATGCACATGGAAAAAGGGATTCAAAGAATTACTAACGTAAAAGAGAAAATGCTCCCCCAGAAACCACTAAGCAGATTTTCAGAGATAGTTTGGCTGGAACTGCACCACATACTAAGCTCATTTCACAGAAATTCATTCATTAGCAATCAGAACTGGGACGACCATGACTGACTAACACCGCTACTTAGTAACAAACCGAGATGTGGGTCACCCTGCAAGAGGGATGGATACTAAGCAAAATGGAGATTCTGTTGGCAAAGAACAAAGTGTTAATGTATGTCAGGCAAGCAAGCAACAGTGTTCGCCTCTGCTACGCATTAAGAGGTGAGTGCAGGGGCGCCTGGGTGGCTCAGTCGGTTAAGCATCCGACTTTGGCTCAGGTCACCATCTCACGGTTCGTGGGTTCGAGCCCCTCGTCGGGCTCTGTGCTGACAGCCAGCTCAGAGCCTGGAGCCTGTTTCAGATTCTGTGTCTCCCTCTCTCTCTGACTCTCCCCTGCTCACGCTGTCTGTCTCTCTCTCTCAGAAATAAATAAAACATTAAAAAAAAGTTTTTTTAAAAGGTGAGTGCAGGCGTTGGCAAACATTTTCTGCAAAGGGATAGATATTATACATTTTCAACTTTAAGATCTGTCACAAGGACTCAATTCTTCCTTTGCCTCGGGAAAACACCCATAGACGACGATGAACAGACGGCGGTGGCGATCTAGTCCCTCGGTCTGCAGTAAGTCAACCCCTGGACAAAAGGCTTTAAAACAAAACAAAACAAAACAAAACAAAACAAAACCACACCACACCACAGAGGGGTCCACACTACTCTCCGGAGCTCCGGAGTCCCAGCAATCCAGCTAAGAACTTCAACCCAAACTCCAGCCCCAGGGCCTTGGCTCCAAAGCGTCAGCTCTCACAAATATCTCTGTACCAGACACGGATCACACCGCCTTTATTAACCTGACACCCGGGCGAGACACCCCGATGGGATGAGCATCCACCCGGGCCCCAACATCATGAGCCCCAAATTAAGTTCGCCACCGGAACGAGACACTTCGATCATCGTTAATGATCTGCACCGCCTGCTGCAGAACCCCAGACTCTTGACAGCGCGGACACGGTCGTGATCTCTACAGACCCTTAGCGGTTTTAATGACCCCCAAAGTACCCCAACCACAGACACACGCTTCACACACTCCCATGTGGTTCCCCTCAAATACCTCCACTTTTGCGCCAGGACCAACCGATCCCCGCCAATAATTGCACAGGCCCACCCTACTCCACTTCTACCCTGTAGACACCACGCCATCCCGTGAGAAACAAACCCCCAATGGGACAAACAGAAAACCTTCATGGGACCAAAGCACACACTAACCTGGTTTTCCCCAGGGCACAGCGAGAGCCTAAAGGGTAACACTTCCGCGAACTCCTTCAATCCCTGGAAACATCGCTCCAATTTTTCGACAGCCTATGGCGGCCGAGGAGGACCTGAAGACTTCGAAGAAGTTTGCTGGTATTTCCGGGAGCAATATGTCCGCGCCCGCCGGCTGTAGCTGTGGAGGCGGCCATGCTGGAACCAGCGGGGGACAAGTGCCGTACACAAGGCAAGGGGGCGGGTTTGCGGCTCCCAGCCGGTGATAGCCCGGAGTCCGAATCCGCCGAAATTATCTCATTTACTTAAAGTCGGCTCTTGCGGAAGACGGGTAGATTTTCAGACTCAGTCTCCTGGAGGCAAACTTGGTGTGAGCTAAGTTGCATTCTCGAGCTGTTCAGGAAGCGCCAAGGCACAGGTGTATATTATCGTGTGTGTGTGTGTGTGTGTGTGTGTGTGTGTGTGTGTGTGTGTGTGTGTGTGTGTGTGTGTGTGTGTGTGTTTACTTTTGAGAAAGAGCACAAGTGAGAGAGGGAGACACAGAATCCAAAGCAGGGTCCAGGCTCTGAGCTGTCAGTGCAAAGCCTGACGTGGGGGTTGAACTCAGGAAGGGTGAGATCATGACTTAGCCAAAGTCCGATGCTTAACCGACTGAGCCACTGAGGAGCCCCTACATGCTATATTTTTAAAAAGGTTTCCGGGTGCCTGGGTGGCTCAGTCATTTAGCATCGGATATCTGCTCAGGTCATGATCTCACCCTTGGTTCGCTCTAGCACCAGGTAAGCTGGAGCCCCTCTTTTCTCCCTTCTTCCCTTCCTCCCTCTCCCTCCCTTCCTCCCTCTCCCTCCCTTCCTCCCTCTCTCTCCCTCCCTCTCCCTCCCTCCCACCACGGGAGTGGAGGAGGGAAGGAGGAAGGTTTCCAAACAGTAAAAGTTCAAGTGTGGATAGTGCAGCAGAGAACGAACTTCTGGAAAGAGGAAAATATATCTGGTAACAGGCACCCAAGGAAAGCTTCTGGTGAAAAATTGCTTGCAGGAGGAGGTTTTTAAGAACAGAAACAGATTTTGAGCAACTGGTACAGTATTGTTGTGAGATTGTTGAGCTAAACAGTGAAGAAAGAATTCTTGAGACTTTTGTGGTGCAATTTACTAAGGTAATTTAAATAGCACCAGGACAGGACCTGTGGGCAGAAAGAGCTGCGTATTTGCTGTATGAATCTGGTGGTTACATGCCTACTGCTCAAGGGCAAGGGGACATGCAGGGAGTATTGGATCATAAATGTTCTCTTCGAATTTCTGCTCATAAAACTACTTTGACACGATAGCTCTGGTGCTTATCATTCAGTCTGATAGTAACTATTGGTGAGATTTACAGGCAGTCATGAGACCCTTTAAGAATGTAGCAACCAGGGGGTGGCCTGGGTGGCTTAGTTTGGGTAAGCCCCGGCCTCTTGGTTTTGTCTCAGGTCATGATCTCAAGGATCTCAAGGTTTCAAGAGATCAAGCCCAGTATCAGCCTTTGCTCTGACAATGAGGAACCTGCTTGGGATTCTCTAAGCCCCTCTCCCACTCGCACTGTTTGTCTCTCTCAAAATAAATAAATAAACTTTAAAAAAGAAGAAGAAGAAGAATGTGGCAACCAGTACATATTTGATCATTATGAGAACTAATTTGGCTATACGTTAGCCTTCCAGGCTAAAGATGAACATTTTTCTGCTTCTATCCCTCATCAGTGTGAGGCTGGCCAACACCCACTAGAGGAAAGAGCAGTTGGGAGGAACCTAAATTGAGACTGGGATTGGGGCCTCAGGGAAAAGCCACTAAAAGTGAGGCCAGCAAGGGTCTGGAGTCAATGAAAAAGGTACAACCAGAATTGAGAGTCCAAAAATATTAAGCTTAATAACTTTTTCCCCCCAAGGCACCAAGATAATTTAATGGGATTAGTCTTTTCAACAAAGGATGCTGGGATAATTGTATTTCTATTTGCAGAAAAATAAATTAAGACCTTTAAACATATACAAAAATTTACTCAAGATAGATCCCAGGCCTAAGTATAAGGGAGAGAGGCAAATGGGAGATAATGTTCATAAACCAAAAAAGTTAGCCAGAGAGTTCGTGGACAAGATCGTAAGGGAAGAGCCATAAAAGAAAAAGTGATAAATTGGACTTGATTAAAATTAAAAACAGTTATACTTTTTTTTTCCTTTTAAACATTTGTACTTTCTAAGCACAACATTTAAGAAGAGTGGAGCCAGAGATTGGGAGAAAATATCTCCACATTGTATATCTGATAAAGGACTTATATTCAGAATATATAAAGAATTGTCAAAGTTCAATAATACCGAAACAACCATCCAGTTACTTTTGGGGGACATGAAATTAAAAAAACAAAACTGGATTGTGGTGATAGTGACTCAAGAGCCTGGAGCCTGCTTCAGATTCTGTGCCTCCCTCTCTCTCTGCCCCTCCCCCACTCTCTCCCTTGTGCTCTCTCAGAAATAAATAAAAACATTTAAAAGTTTTTTAAAAAGACAGTAAACAAACATATGAAAAATGATCAAGATTATTTGTTATTAGGAAATTACAAATTAAAACTGCAGGCGGGGGGACACCTAGCTGGCTTAGCCAGAGGAGCATGTGACTCTTGCTCTTGGGGGTTGTGAGTTCAAGCCCCAAGTAGAGATGACTTAAATAAATATTTTTTTAAAACCCCAGTATGATACAAGTACCCAGTTACTGGAATTGCTGAAATCCAAAAAACTAAAAGTATAAAATGCTGGTGATAAGGTAGAATAACAGGAACCCTTAATATTTGCCAGAGACAATGAAAAAAAGTACACTTGTGTTAGAAGATAGGCAGAGTCTTAAATGTAGATAATCTCAATTTTTAGAAAGGTGGTTTAAAAAATTTCTCTTAATAAAATGGCTCTAATGGGGAAGGAGAATTTAGGAAAATGGTTGCTTTTGTCAAACCAGGAAGGAAATATCAAGGAAATGTTTGCCAGAAGATACAAATCCTGGGGCACCTGGATGCCTCAGTTAAGCATCTCAGGTCTAGTCTTGATCTCAGGGTCATGAGTTCAAGTCCACTTTGGAGGAAAGAGAAAGGAAGGAAGGAAGGAAGGAAGGAAGGAAGGAAGGAAGGAAGGAAGGAAGGAAGGGAGAGAAAGAGAGAGAGAAAGAGATTTAAAAAAATCCTATCTTTATTCAGGTACACAGCACTCCATCATAGTGCACTACTACTCTTGATTTTTGTGGGGACAGTGAGGAGAATGGATGCAGGAGACAAATTTTTATTCAAAATTTTGTTAGGAATATTGAGAGGGGACTCGAAAGACAAAGGAAATATTCCACCATCCAGAAGGTTGAGCCTCATGGGGCACCTGGGTGGCTCATTCAGTTGAGCATCAGCTCAGGTTATGACCTCACGGTTCATGAGTTCAAGCCTAGCATCAACTTGCTGCTATCACCACAGAGCCCGCTTGGCATTCTCTGTCTCCCCCTTTCTCTGTCTCTCTCCCACTTGCACTCTCTCTCTCTTTGTCAAAAATGAATGAACAGGGGCACCTGGGTGGCTCAGTCAGTTAAGCCTCCGGCTTCAGCTCAGGTCATGATCTTGCAGTTTGCGGGTTTGAGTCCCACTTCAGGCTCTGTGCTGACAGCCTGCTTCGGATTCTGTGTCTCCCTCTCTCTCTCTCTGCCCCTCCCCTGCTCACGGTCTGTCTTTCTGTCTCTCGAAAATAAATAAACATTAAAAACATTTTTTTAATGAATGAATATTAAAAAAAAAAAAAAAAAAAAAAACCAGCCTTGGGTTATGAGCTTCAAAACTCCCAGATTCCTAGGCTTTCAAACGCTGCATTCCCCGAACATTGACCTCAAATTCCATGTCAAGGTTACCACAGGAGCCGTCCTCGCTCATGGACGCTCCAGCTCCTACGGAGCCCCAGGTGAAATCGCTGAGGTCGCCAAGGAGCGGTGTTCGCGGGGCCAGACCTCGCCCCGCAGCGTTAACACACAAGCCTCCTTCCCCTCGTCCTGACCAGCGTCAGACTCTGAAGACTTCGTCTTAGCGTGCACCCCGCATTCCTCAGGGACTGAACCCAAATAAAGCCCCAAACACAGATATCCCCACGCGCATCCCCGCCTCACGCGCCAGGCCCCTCACTCGGGACCCCGAGCCTCAGAGAACTCCCTGGAACTCGTCGGACTGCGATGCTCTCGGCGCCCGCGTGGCCCGCGCTGGGGTCGGCCAGAGCTGCGGGAAGTGTGCCCAGCGGGCTTCGGGGCCTTCTGGAAGTGCTCCCCGGCTCGCTCAGGGCCTGAGGGCACTCGGGTGTGAGGTGAGCTCCGTTTCCTCACTGAGCACTCCTAGCACTTCTGACCGGAGCAGCCCCCACTCTGCTGGAAGGAAGAATCGGAAACGTCGTTGTAAAGGCACGTGGGGCCTTCCTCTTCTCAAAAGAGAGGGACACAGGCGCAGAGCTAAGGCCTCTTCAGAGGCAGGAACCTACCCAAGGCCGATGTGGCGATGTGGCGTGGGGCGCATTCTAATCATCAGTTTGGGGAAAAGGGGAAGCTGAGCCCTTAGGCAGGAACACCTGGGGTGCAGCCAGTTTGCTTGAAGTCCCGCGTCCAAGTGCGGAGAAAACCCCACAGAGCTTCTGGGTGGATTTTGGGTTGACTTTTCCAGAGCTCTGTGTTGGACAAACCTACAGTTTCGGCCTCCTCCTGTGTCTCTCCTTTACTCACACTGGCTACCACACAACCCTTGGACACGTCTGGTCACCAAATGTGTGTGGGGATTTCCACACACCCAGCAATTCTCCAGGACACCAGCTGGATCCTGACACTAGCGACCTGGAGGGTCAGGTCCCACAGGTGAAAAGCTGGGCCCCACAAACTGTACCTCCCTTCTCATTTCATACCCCAGTGGCCAGTGGCAGGCCCCCAGGTTACCTACAACTTCGGACTTGCTTACAAGTGGGAACTCCCCACAACTCCTTCTTCCAGTTCCATTAATTTGCTGGAGCAGCTCACAGAACTCAGAGAAACACACCAGTTTATTAAAACCTAGGATAAAGCATGTAGGTGAACAGCCAGATGAAGAGATACATAGGGTGAGACCTGGAAGGGTCCCCAAGCACAAGCCGCTATCCTGGTGAAGTTGTGTTATGTTACCCTCCCCCACCTGTGTTCACCTACCTGGAAGCTCACCTATCATTGGGGATTTTATGAAGGCTTCTTCAAGACTGACCAATTATTGACTCAATTTCCCTCTCTCCTCTCTGGAGGATTGGGGGGTGGGGGGGAGTTGGGGCAGAAAGTTGCAAACTTCTAACTATGGCTTGGTCTCTCTGGTGACCAGTCCTCATCCAGAAGCCTTACAGGAGCCCACCCAGAGTCACCTCATTAGAATAAAAAATGCTCCTAATGCACTTATCACTTATGAATTTACAAGGGTTTCAGGAGCGTGTGCCAGCAAATAGGGGCAGAGACCTATATAATTTCTATTATTTCATAAGGTCAAATAGCCAACTTCAAAGGGTAAGTGCTAAATGACTCTACTTTTCTAATATTCTGTAAATGACAAATTTATAGAATCTCTGATGCCAGGGTTTGGGGTCGGGGAAAAGTGTCGCTATGAAGGGGTAGCATGAGGGAGTTTGTGTTGACAACACATTCTGAATTTTTACTGGTTACAGAAACCTGTATATGTGATAAAGCTTCTTAAAACTGTATATAAAAAACAACCAAAAATGAGTGCATGTTAAAACTGGTGAGATCCAAGTAAATCCCGTGGTTAAAAATATTATAATAATTTCACTTTCCTCTAGTTGATATTGAACTATGGTTATGTAAGGTTTTACCTTTGGAAGTAGCTGGCTGAAGGGCATTTAGGAAATCTCCAAAAGATTCATTTTTTGTGATTCTAAACTTAATGCAAAATTAGTGCAAATCATATGGGGTGCCTAGGTGGCTCAGTCGGTTAAGCATCTGACAGGTTCAGGTCATGATCTCATGTTGAAATCTCATGGTTCATGAACTTTTCCACATACACTACATACATTGGGTTTCTCTGGGCTCTGCAATGATGGTACAGAGCCTGCTTGGGATTCTCTCTCTGCCCCTCTCCCACTCTCTTTTCAAAATAAATAAACTTTAAAAAAATTAGAAGTTATATAAACATTGCATGTACATTAATTTTATAAACCACTTGATGCTGCTTAGAAACTTGGTTAAACACATCCAAATATATTGTGTTAAACTTATGAATATATTGTTTCATTACGAAGTACTTCGAGTATTCAGTAATAACAATTAAACTTGGAACCCAAGAAATTCAAAAGTTAATTATATAATGAAATAGGCATAGAACACTCATAGGACACTCCTGTGTTGTACATATTGAAATTTAATACATGATGAGAGTAATGCCACTATTTAAAATTTATAAAATCAATGACAAGGCAATTAGAAATATGGCTGAAGGTATCCTGTTCTCAAAGTTTGAGAGGTATGTATTATCTGTTTAGACATGTGACAGAATGCTCTCATTCATCCATTTCCCCAAGGCTTCTTTCCTTAAGTTGTCTGGTATTTTGCTAACGTCCACCACATTGAATGTGTTCCCAAGTTATTTCTGTGTGGAATTTCCTGGCAAATATTGCTTCAAGACCTGCTATATTTATTGCCATAGGAAAGTACTTCTCTAGTGTGAACTTTAGTATATGTGCTGCAGAAATGAGCACTTCTCTAGTGTGAACTGATACCTACTGAGGTTTTAACTTCTGGGGAAAGCCTTTCCTTTTTCATTCATGATCTGTGATGATGATCACATGATAGGTCTAGTTCCAACTGAAGACTTTCCTAGTCACGCTCATAGACTCTATCTTAGTCAACACTTTTTAGATGTATATTGTTCTAAAATATTTTCATCAAGGCTGACTGCATGTGAATAGTTTTGTAAAATTTTTTGTCAACATGAAACATAATCAATCACTAAAGATAATACCATTCTTTGCATTCATTCTTCATTGCAAAATATTATATTGAGGGCCTACAACTAGCATACTGGCAACAGGATTTCCCAAAGTGACTATCTGTGAATTCTCTTATGTTTAACGAGGATTGACAAGTGGGCAAAAGTTTTCCCACAATCACTGCATCCATAGGGCCTTTCTCCGGTATGTTTTCTTTGATGAACGTTGAGCCCTGACTTGGTCGTGAAGGCTTTCCCACATTCACTGCATTCATATGGTTTCTCTCCTGTGTGAATTCTCTGATGGGTAATGAGATCATTTTTGCGCAAAGAAAATTTTCCACATTCGGTACATGCAAAGGAGGTTTTTCCGGCGTGAAATCTCTGATGTTGTATGAGGCAGGTCTTCTTCCTGAAGGCTTTATCACATTCGTTGCATTTGTATGGCTTCTCTCCAGTATGAGTTTGCTGATGTATACCTAGAGTACTCTTCATGGTGAAGCCCTTTCCACATTCATTGCATATATATGGTTTTTCCCCAGTATGAGTTCGCAAATGTGCAATGAGCATGCTTTTCCCAGTTAAGCCTTTGCCACATTCGTTGCATATATAGGGTTTCTCTCCTGTATGAGTGCGCCTGTGTACATTCAGATGACTCTTCTCTGTGAAGCCTTTTCCACATTCACTGCAAATATAGGGCTTCTCTCCCGTATGAGTTCGTTGATGTCCAATCAGCCGTATCTTTGCTGGAAAGCCTTTTCCACATTCACTGCATATATAAGGCTTCTCTCCTGTATGAGTTCGCTGATGTACAATCAGGCGGCTCTTCACGGTGAAGCCTTTCCCACAATCACTGCATATATATGGCTTCTCTGCAGTATGAGTTCGCTGATGTACAATGAGATCACTCTTCATGGTGAAGCCTTTTCCACATACACTACATACATAGGGTTTCTCTCCTGTGTGTGTCCGCTGATGTCTGATGAGAGGACTCTTCAAGGTGAAGCCTTTTCCACACTCATTGCATGTGTAGGGTTTCTCTCCTGTATGAGTTCGCTGATGTACGATGAGACAGTGCTTCATCGAAAAGCCTTTTCCACACTCACTGCATATGTACAATTTCTCTTCTGTATGAGTTTGCTGATGTGTGATAAGACTGTTCTTCAAGGTGAAACCTTTCCCACATTCGTCGCATATAAAAGGTTTCTCACCAGTGTGAGTTCGATGATGTGCAACAAGACGCCTCTTCTCAATGAAGCCTTTTCCACATTCGCTGCATATATATGGTTTCTCTCCTGTATGAGTTTTCTGATGTGTAGTGAGACTAAACTTTGTAGAGAAAGCTTTCTCGCACAGACTGCATCCATGGGGCTTCTCTCCTGTATGAGTTCGCTGATGATAAATGAGCCGACATTTCTTGATGAATGCCTTCCCACATTCATTACATGTATAAGGCTTCTGTCCCATATGAGTTTTCTGGTGTATGTTGAATTGTGATTTCTTAAGGAACGTTTTGTCACATTCAGTGCATTCATAATGTTTCAGTCCTGTATGAATTCTCTGATGTTCAATTAGCCTGGATTTTCTGGAGAATGCTTTCCCACACATACTGCACCCATGAGGTTTCTCTCTAGTATGAACTCTCTGATGATCAGTGAGCTGAGACACCTTGACAAAGGCTTTCCCACATTCACTGCATACATGGGCTTTCTGCATGTTTGGAGTCCTCTGTTGTTTAGTGACCCGGGAGTTATCGTTGCTGGGTTTTACACCCACAGGAGATTTATTTACACTGTAAAATTGTTCCTGGGCACCATGAAGAAGGGATTTCCCATCTTCATTCAACTCAGCAGAGTTCTCCAAATCACAGCTTATACTCTGGCTTTCAAAACTTGTATTTGATTTTAAAGATTTTTCACGTAAATCAAATATATCATAATTTTGCTTTAACAGAAAATCACTTTCGTTCTGATTAAAAATGTTTGCAAATGTATTACGTTCACAACATTGTTCCACACACTTCTGAATGCTTCGATTTTGCAACTGACACGGCAAGGATCCATCAACTTTTCTGATTTCTAGGAGAGAAGAGAACAATGAATCACTCTATAATCTCTCATAATTTTAGTTTGGAATAAAACTGTTTTTAAAAAGCCTTCATGTGAAATAGCTATTTAGTGAGAATCCTACATGTGGTATAGTAAAAAATACATTTGGTTTCCATCCACGGTTCTTGGTACAGAGCTCCTAAAACCCTTAAAATTTCCTAACAGGAGTTTATTTCATTATTCATAATAAGTCCTTCCAGTCACAACTGAGTTTATGCTAATGAGGCAATTTAGCATAGGGTTCCTACTAGATCACAATATGGGCTGGTACCCAGAAAGACCAAGTGATCATAAGGTTGGAACTTTCCGCCCTACCCACCAATTTCTGGGAAAGGCAGGAGGAACTAGAGATTAAAGTTCTGCAGAAACTCTTGGGGCACCTGGATAGCTCAGTTGGTTAAGCTCATCACTCTTGATTTTGGTTCAAGTCATGATCTCACAGTGTGTGAGATGAAGCCTGGTGGCAGGCTCTGTAATACCGGCAAAGTGTTTCTCTGAGTTCTGTGAGCCTCTGGCAAATTAATTGAACCCAAGGAGGGGGTCATGGGAATCTACAGGTTACCATGGAGACCAAGTATGGAAGGTGGGATTAGATATTATGGAAGGAAATCATTATTTCCTGGTAAGCAGGCATAGTAGTAGTAAGAACAAAGTAGGGAATTCACGGTTGTTTCTTTCCAGAAAGGGCTGGAAAGTGGAATTTCATAGCAGGAGAAGTAGGAATGTAGGTAGAGACACTGTCACAGTAGATGAAGAAGATGAAGATTAGAAAGTCGGAAGAAGATGACCATGCAAAACAAACAGAAACAAGAAGTATATAAACAGGGATCAGATCTCAAAAGAAAAAAAAGGGGTATATTTTTCTTGAAATTTCAACTAAGAAAGAGTTCCCATACGGGGAAAAGAGATGTGGGGAGGGACCGTTTACTTTTCCTCAGGCACTGTCACAGCTCTGCCTGACCAGGATACTACTTCTGCACCCACCCACCACCCTGCCACGCTCTCACTCACCTGGGCAGATTCGACTGTTGATTTCATCTTCTATCGTCCAAAGTTCTCCTCGTTCCAACCCGGAGAGTGCATCTGGTTTGCTGGCGTGATACCCTGTTCATGAGAAATGATAGAGGACTCAGTGGTTGGGGCGCCAGGGTGGCTCAGCTGGTTCAGTGTCTGACTTGGACTCAGGTCATGATCTCGCAGTTCGCAGATTCAAGCTCCATGTTGGGCTCTGTGCTAGCAGCGTGGAGCCTGGCTTGGGATTCTCTCTCTCTCTCTCTCTCTCTCCCCCTTCTCTCTGCCCCTCCCTGAGTCACACTTTCTCTCTCTCTCAAAATAAATAAATAAACTTAAAAAAAAGAAGAGGAGGACTCAGTGGGCTGGAGTATATCAAGAAGGGATAATGTTACATTTTAGGGACAAAACAAGGTTTCACATCTGTAAACATCAAGGCTTTTCTCTCAAGAGAGGGGACATTATATCCCCTTGCCTGAGACAAAAGAAGGATCTGAGAATCTATCATTTGAGAGTACTAAGGAGGTAAGTAGCTGAGAAAGAAAAAACCACTAGCAGAGCACCCTGTGAGAGACACCGGGGAGCTGTCCTCACCCACTGACACCAGGTTCCTGTAGTTCTCCAGCATCACGTCCCGGTACAGGTCCTTCTGGGCGGGGGCCAGGAGCCGCCACTCCTCCCGGGAGAAGTCCACGGCCACATCCTCCAGTGTCAGCGATTCCTGTTATAACACAGCTATGTTTAATGAAGTGATATTCTTTCAGTGATATGTAAAAAATGGATAAAGGAGATTATTCTGTTCATTCCTCCATATAGGAAATCGGTGGTTTTTATTCTTTAATACATGGTGGTTGAATAAGAAATCTTATAAAATATTATGTCATTGTGCAGTTTTCTCTTCATTCAACACAGGTGAAAGTTAAATTAAGTTTCCATAATAGGTACCATTAAATCCACTTGCTGGTTTAAGAACATCTGTAATGTATATAGATTTAAGCATCTATTTGCCAGTATGGAACTATGTAGATGAAGAACACAGATTTCTTAGTTCACCATGAGCATCTGAACCAATTCCAAAATCAGTAATGAAAACTGAAGATATGCTAGAATCACCAGACAATCCATACTAATTTCAGTGGTTAATATACTAAACAAAATAAAAGGAACTGTATAAAATATGTATAAAACAAAGAGATTAATAGATGATTAAGCAAATTTGTAAAAAAATAAAACTATAAAGAATATACTTATAGACACATGTATGTATATAGACAAATATATATATGTGCACATATCATTAGGCAGGGTTAATACCACAATAGAAACAATGAAGAAACAGCTGTAGGAAATAGGTTTTTACATTTATGAGAAGTAAGGGCAGTTAAGGCCTTAACTCACCACAGTTCTATGAAAAATGATCAAAGACTCATGTGAACTTCAAACCTATATGTCATGAAACCTTAACATTCCTCAAGGAACTAGCCAGTTTTCTCCATACTGTGATATAATAAGAGGTATATATGTGGTATTCATCTCCAGTTCCTAGCACAAAGCTACTAAAGCCTTTGGGAGTGCTTGGAGTGAGAGGGGCACCTTGTGTTATTTGTAACAAGCCCCTTTCAATCACACCTGGATTTATATTAAGGTGGTTACTCCTGTGGGCCCCTAAGTACCCTAAGGATGTGGCTGGTTGCTAATGGAACCAAGCTATTGATTAGAGGGCTGGAAGTGTCGGCTCCACCCCAGCCGTGTAGGGAGGAAAGAGGAACTGGAGACTGAGATAATCACTAAATGGCCAGTGATTTCATCACTTGCCCCTACATAATGAAACTTCCATGAAAAAACACTGAACTACGGGGCTTGGGGAACATGTTAACACATCAAGGTGCTGGGAGGGTGGCTTGCTTGGAGATGGCATGGAAGGTCTTCGCCCCTTCTCCCATACCTTGCCCTATGCCTCTCTTCCATTTGGCTCTTCCCATCTTGTACCTTTTATAATAAACTGGTAAGTGTGAAGTAAAGTGTTTTCCTGAGTTCTGTGAGCCACTGAAGTGAATTCTCAAACCCAAGGACTTGCCCCTTTGTAGCCAAGTCAGAAGTATGGGGACTCTGGGCACCAAATACTTGGCATCTGTAATGAAGTCAGTCTCGTGGGACTGAGCCCTATAAGTTTGTGGTGTAAGATAGGAACTCTAGGTAGTTAGTGTCAAGATTGAATCAAATTGTACACAGGTGGTGTCTGGAGAGTTGGGGAACTGGTCATTGGTGTGAAAAAATTCACATGCTTGGTTTCAGAAGCGTTGGTCGTAGAAAGAGATCACAGTAATTAATGCCTACCACGTAACTTACCAAGATTCTCTTATGACGGCTGTCAGAGATATGTGCAACATGGACAGCTACGTGACCGACAGGGTCTTGCATAATCACATATATTCCAACATGAGTCACAAAGTATGGATCCTATGAAAAGTATGTTCCTGATCCTACTTGGCCCCGATTTCTCCAGATCCTGCTATTCTCAATTTAAACTTTAGTGTTTAATTGCACTGATTTTTTTTTTTTTTTTTTTTTTTTTTACAGGCCTCTACAAATCCATTGGAGGGAAAAGGAAAAGAATTAAAAGAAACCAAAAGTCACCTGGGCCTGGATCATCTTCTTCTGATTTTGGGAAATAGCTGCTAACTGGGATGCTCTGTCTTTAGCTCTTCTGGATCAGCTCTAAATTTCTGCTCAAAAATCTCAGTCTCCAGTCAAGGGTTTCTTGAGAAATGCTGATACCTAAATCTTGGAATCTTCTTCTCCTTTTTCCCGGGATCCCTCTTGTCCGTGGGGAGCCAGCACCTACAGGCTGAAAAAGCAAATTACTCTGAGTGGCACAATCTCTTTAGGCCCAGATGTTGTTACTGCTGCTATGCATTCATCTTAAACCAAAGCCCCAAAAGATCTTTTTGAGAAGAGAGGGAAACAAGCCACAAGAGACTCTTCATGATAGAGAACAAGCTGAGGGGTGATGGAGGGAGGTGGGTGGGGGATGGGCTAGATGGGTGCTGGGTACTAAGGAGGGCACTTGTTGGGATGAGCACTGGCTGTTGTATGTTTAACCAACTGAGCCACGCAGGCGCCCTCCATGGGTGTGGTATATGATAAATCATTGAATTCTACTCCTTGAAACCAATACTGCATGGTATGTTAACTAAAATTTAAAAATTAAAAAAAAAATCTTTTTATTAAGTGCTCTGGCCCAAGAAACGTAACACTCAGAATGTGCTCTGGGAAGCACATCTTTCTTCTGTAAAGTAGAAGTAGTATGACTGTCAAAGGGAATGTGGGACAGAGACCCAGAAGAGTGTGATGCCCAGTGGCAGGGGACTCCTCAAGCAGATCAAGTTTAGGAAAGAGGGCATACAGTAAGATGTACACATTTTTCTCTTAAATCATGAATATCCATCTACCTCTTCCAAAGTCTTTGTACATCCCAGGGTATATACACTTTGACTTTGAGAACATCATGCTAATAAGCAAATAATAAGCACTGTCTTATATAATTTCTCATTGTCATCCAGTTCTTCATACTCTGTAGAGTATTATAAGTATAAACCTATATAGGATAGTTGGCAAAAATATTCTTTAGAAAACGAACTGAAATAGACATTCTCAGGCAAAAGCACACAGAATTCTTCATCAGAAGACCTGTGTTACAGCAAGTAAGAAGGTTCTTCAAGCAGAAGGAAAGGATATTCCAATGTAAGCAGAGGAGTAAGGAGTCAAGAGAAATAAAACTGGTAAACACCAACTGGAAACATAACAATGGTCATCTCTCAGGAGGTTTTAAAAACATGAAGAGTTAACATATTCCATGACAGGGGCACCTGGGTGGCTCAGTCCGTTAAGTGTCAGACTTTGGCTCAGGTCATGATCTCGCGTTTCATGGATGGGGCCCCATGTCAGGCTCTGGTGACAGCTCAGAGCCTGGAGCCTGCTTTGGATTTTGTGTCTCCCTCTCACTCTGCCCCTCCCCCGCTCATGCTCTGTCTCTCTCTCTCAAAAATAAACATTAAAAAATATTTAAAAATTAGGGTGCCTTGGGGCGCCTGGGTGGCTTAGTCGGTTAAGCGTCCGACTTTCGCTTAGGTCATGATCTCGTGGTTAGTGGGTTCAGGCCCCGCGTCGGGCTCTGTGCCGACTGCCAGCTCAGAGCCTGGAGCCTGTTTCAGTCTGTGACTCCCTCTCTCTCTGACCCTCCCCTGCTCACGCTGTCTCTCTCTCTCTCTCTCCTAGAAATAAATAAAACATTAAAAAAAATTTAAAAAAAATAAAAATTAGGGTGCCTGAGTGGCTCAGTCAGTTAAGTGTCTGACTTCAGCTCAGGTTATGATCTCGCAATTTGTGGGTTCAAGCCCCGCACTGGGCTCTGTGCTGAGAGCTCAGAGCCTGGAGCCAGCTTCGGATTCTGTGTCTCCCTCTCTCTGCCCCTCCCCTTCTCGCACTCTCTCTGTCTCTGGAAAATAAATAAACATTATTTATTTCTGAGAGAGAGAGAGAGGCAGCATGAGCAGGGGAGGGTCAGAGAGAGAGGGAGACAGAATTAGAAGCAGGCTCCAGGCTCTGGCCTGTCAGCACAGAACCCAGTGCGGGGCTCGAACCCATGAACCGTGAGATCATGACTGGAGCTGAAGTCAAGGGCTCAACCAACTGAGCCACCCAGGCATCCCTGAAAATAAATAAACATTAAAAAAATTTTAAAAAATATTTAAAACTAAAGGAAAAATGAAAAATAAAAAATAAAATATAAAATATTCCATGACAGCATATACCATATGAAGTGGTAAATGAAAAACTTTTAAATCTCTGTATAGACAGAGAAGAGTATAAAAGTACTAATATCATAATACTTTGACAAATACAAACTATCTTATTTTGCAATCTCTAGTGTCAAGAATAAAACTAATATATGTATTTTAAATATACATAACTACACGTTAAAAGAGAAAAAAAATAATGCACATGGTTTCTGTAGCAACTACTCAACTATACCACTATAGCCCAAAAGCAGCCATATTAAAAAAAATAGGTGTGGCTGAGCTCCAATAAAACTTTATTAACAAAAACTGGCACTGGCTCAGATTCAGTTCATGGGCTGTATTTGCCCATGGGTCATCTAAACCAAGGGTCAGTAACACAGGGCCTAGACCACCTGTTTTCATAAATAAAGTTTTATAGGAACCCAATCAAATCCATTTGTTGACTATTGTCTCTGTTTTCACACTCTATCTACAATGGCAGAATTGAGAATTTACATCTGAAAACACTACCCAGTACAAGACAGTTTGAAAAAATAATCAAAGTTGACTTTCGAATATAGAAAGAGGCAAATTATCAGTATTCACCTAACTTGTCTGTATATGTATTTAGTCAGGTGGCTGGTTACAACATTTAAATAGAAAAATTCTAGGGGCGCCTGGGTGACTCAGTCAGTTAAGCGACCAACGCTGGATCTTAGCTCAGGTCATGATCTCATGGCTAGTGAGTTCGAGCCCCACATAGGGCTCTGCACTGACAGTGTAGAGCCTGCTTGGAATTCTCTCTCTTACTCCTGCCCCTACCCCACTTGCTTACTCTCTCTCTCTCAAAATAAATAAATAAACTTAAAAAAAATTTTTTTTATATTCTAGGGGCACTTCAGTGGCTCAGTCAGTTGAGCTCAAGTTTGACTCTTGATTTCCACCCACGACATGATCCCAGTGTCTTGGGATCAAGCCCTGTGTCAGGCTCTGCACTGAGACTGGAGCCTGCTTAGGATTCTCTCTCTCTTTCTCTCTCCTCCTGTCCTGTTCCCCCACTCACACTCTAAAATTAAAAAAAAAAAATCTATATCATCTTAAAGCACACACAGGTCAAGGTCAGTGTTAAAGAGCAAGACATTTCATGGAAATAATTTAACATTTTTTTTTAATATTTTTATTTATTTCTAGGAGAGAGAGAGAGAGACAGCGTGAGCAGGGGAGGGTCAGAGAGAGAGGGAGACACAGACTCTGAAACAGGCTCCAGGCTCCGAGCTGGCAGTCAGCACAGAGCCCGATGCGGGGCTCGAACCCACGAACCGCGAGATCATGACCTAAGCGAAAGTCGGACGCTTAACCGACTAAGCCACCCAGGCGCCCCTAATTTAACATTTTTAAAATTTATTTATTTATTTATTTAGAGAGCACAAGCAAAGGAGAAGGGGAAAGGGACAGAGAATCTTAAGCAGGCTGCACACGCAGCACAAGGCTGACTCGGGCTCAACCCAGAGTCAGATGGGGACACTCAACCTGTTTAGCCACCCAAGCACCCCTAACATTCAACTTAAAACCAGCAATAGAAGTATCACTAGTAACCGAAAAATTCATGTCTAAGAATTTCTGAAAAGGAAATACTGACAACAGTATAATATTTGAAAGGTCATTTGCAGTTCCTCATTATATTTTTCATAAGAGGACTTACATTTTAAATCAGAAAATTACTGGCATTCTACATTTAAAATCGAATGGCTGTTGCTAGATCATTAATGTAAGTTCACAGCTTTAAACGTTTTCATACTTAAAAAAAGAGACAGACAAGTACGGAAGGAGGTAGGGAGAGAGAAAATGAGTTATAAATACACATTTTACAAAGCACAAAATCATAAATATAGGGAAATTATCAGCCTTTTTACTCAAATACTGTAGGCCCCTGCCATCACAGACCACAATTTTAGGTATTTTACTATACTTTTCTTCAAAACAACGCTGAGGAAGAGTAATTTAACTTCTCTTTTTGCCAACAGGGAAACAGACACAGGACGCACCAGTCACACAATGGGATTGAAAAGCCAGATTAATCTCATTCCAAAATTCACTTTCATTCCACTTCACAACAGGCCAAGACTATTTGTAAATAAAATTTCTGTTCATTAAGTAAACAAAGGAAACAAGTAAAAAGCTATTGGAATGCTACTAATCCTGTAATTGCAGAGGCATTTAGAGTACTGGTAGTGATCTGCAACTGTCTTTAAAATGCACCAAAACCAACAACAGAAGACTGATTCATGAAAAGATGGGTCAGGTAACTGGTAGAGTAATCTAATCCTTCCTTAATGGTGAAATCTAGGTGGGAGATATACACATGGTTACTTTAAAATTCTTTCAGTATGACTGTATGTGTGAAATTTTTCTACACTAAAATGGGTGGGGAGAAAGAGACTGTAATAAGAATTTAGTAGCGTGGCCAAGTAGCAAATAAATATTTAAAGTTAATTGATCTTTTACATTATAGAAAATTATAAGGACAAGGATGTCAGAAAGTAGTAACACGCTTACAACTGCAATAAAAATAGTCTATACTGGAAACTATTGGAAAGGCTGGGGAACAAATCCACGGGTATAAAGGCATAATCATAAACTGCCCCCAAAACGATACTTCAAAATCTCAAACATTTCACCTCTACTTAGATCTACATCGGCAAATGCTTAACACGAAACCACTCACAAGATCACCGGTTCACACGTTAAAAGTAATTTGTAAATGTTTATTACATGAAATAAGGCAAGAGAGAAAATCATAGTACCATTTACACAACTTATCTGAATTACCAACATTAAGCACATAATCTAAAAGCCTCAAATTTTAATCTACTAAAATTTTGACAAGGATTATCCCTTGGGAACCGAACGTACAGTGTGATGCGAGATTTTACTTGTGTCCGAATCTGAAAAGAAATATCCAAGAGGAATGTGCAAGGAATCTTGAAGGACAAAGGATAAAAGGCAGCATCTTAAATATAAAACTGCTATTAGATACGCTGGATCGTTCATCTCGCCAAAAACTTTCATTCCTGAGAATTCGAGAGTAAGAAGCGGTGCTGGCCCGGGGCTTAAAGGGCGGCAGCGGGGACGTCACACCCGCCGTCCGCGACAGCAGCCGAGGCCCGAGCTCTGCACGCCGCGGCCAAGCCCCATGCTCCCACCCGCGCCCCCGCGGCCCCCGCGTCAGCTCCACGCACGGACCCCGACCCGTGAACCCCGGAACAGCTCATCTTTGAGTCCCGAACAAAACCCGCTCCACTCGGCAGCTGACAGCCACCTGACTCCCGCGCGCAATCTCTGAGCCCCAACGAGTAGAGGGCCCCCGCCTGTGCCGTCGGCACCCGGTCGCTGTTCTCTAGAAATCTTTACCCAGGAGCTACGAGAGCACCTCCTGACCGAGGCTAGAGGCACCCCAAGCGCACACCCTAACACGGAACGACACCCACCCTCGGTCTCCTCCCGCTGGAATTCCACCCGCATCAGCCTAGGCGGACGCCGACGGACGGTCCCCGGCCACAGTCCACGAAGGCACCTGATTTTCTCCACACACCACCGCGACCGGCCGGCGCCTGAACTTACTTCGCTGAACTCCGTCCGCGTCCCTCAGCACCGCCGGACTGCGGCCAACAAGGGTCTGAGGCATTTCTAGAGAAAAGACCTCTGGATCCCGGCTTTTCCGCTGCGGCAACATGGCGGCACCCTGGCCCTGCCCCGTGGGGGCAGCCATCTTGGATCCCGGCCCTACGGGACGCCGAGAGGCCGATTCCGCGCCCGCTGGCAGGCGCGGCTGGGAACGTGAAAGGGCCTGTCAGTCCGGGCGGAAACGCACAGGTATGCTCAAGGCTGGAGCTTACGCCAGGCAAAAACGGTGCGCGGGAAATCCCTTTCAACGAGCAGACGGGAAAATTAAAATTAGGACACGGCACGGTTGGCGTGATCCTGTTAACAGGAAGTGGAGGTATTTGTATAGCTCAGAATTCACAGAAGCCTCCTCGGGGGAGTTTCCAGCAGAAACGGTTTGAAGTGACTTTTGGACAGAGAACAACGTTCTCAGAAGCTGAGGGCACAGGAATGACAGTCACTGATTGGGAAAGAAAACCGCAGGAATGCGCCAGTTAGGCGTGGGCAAGAGTAATGGGGTGGGTAGGCCTCTAAGGTCAGAGAAAGTGAGAAAAGGTCAAAGCCCAGAGAAGGGCGCAGCCTAGGATGCACACCGAGCTTTTCCTGGGTCCAGAGAGGAAGGCGGGGCTCTGAGGACCAGTGGCCAAGAATAGGCAACTGTGACAAATTCTACAAGAATAAAAGTAGTGTAAAAATAGGGTTTGTGTCATATGCGAAAAGCATCAACTGTCATAGTAATATAAATCCTAAATTTGGATCCAACTGACCCTGTCTTATATATTGTAAGGAATGGAAAGATTTGAGTGTGTGAGTGAGTGTGTGTGTGTGTGTGTGTAACAGAAACTGCCAAACTATTTTCCAGAGTCAATGTGCCAGTTCCATTCCTACCATCAATACATGAGATCCACTCTTCCACACCCTATCACAAGAGGAATAAGAGAAAGATCAACCTAATTTTTTTAATAGCTAAATAAACAGGCCACTTACTTTTAAAAATTGCAGATACTCGTAACAACAATTTTTAAAATGCATCTGATTTTCAAATAAATACAATGTAAACATGAAACAAAAATATTTTAAACCTTAACATTCATAAAGATTGAATGAGCAGCAACATTCAGAGTGCTGAGGCCATGGGATAAAGGCACTCTGAGGCTAAGCCTAAGTTTTATTTTTTCTCATCTGCATAGTAGATTAGTGTTGTCCACCACATACAGCTTTGAATGAACTGAAATGTTATTATCATCCTTATCATAGTTCTAAGTTTAAAAAATGCACACCACATTTAATAAGTATTAGGTATTTGGTATGTTTAGGATGACAGGCTTCAGACCAGAGTATATAAATGTTTTCAGAGTACAATCTGCAATTATACAATTTAAGCTTTTTATTCTCTTTGAACCAGGGATTAATATTAAGAATAGAATCCGTAGAAATTTACCCTTTTGAGAACAAACATGTACAAGGATATTTATGGCATCATTTTTGACAAATGTAAGGAAATAAACACTCTTGTGATTCTTACATAAATTTACTCTTGCAGAGTGCCTGAGTGGCTCAGTCAGTTAAACGTCCAACTCTTTTTTTTAAAAAAAATTTAAAACATTTATTCATATTTGAGGGACAGAATGTGGGTGGGGTGGGGCAGAGAGAGGGAGACAAAATCTGAAGACGGCTCCAGGCTCAGAGCTGTTAACACAGAGCCCAGCGTGGGGCTCGAACTCACAGACTACAAGATGATGACCTTAGCTGAAGTCAGAAGCTTAACCCGACTGAGCCACCCAGGCGCCCCATAAACATCCAACTCTTCATTTTGTTTCGGGTCTTGATCTCACAGTTGGTGAGCTCAATCCCACATCTGGCTCTGTGCTGACGGTTCAGAGCCTGCTTGGGATTTTTCTCTCTCCCTCTCTCCCCCTCGCTTGTGCTCTCTCTCTCAAAAATAAACATTTTTTAAATAAAAAACCCACAACTTTTTCTTTATATTCACATTTTTGGATAGTATCCCCTCCTAGGGACTCTGACCAATGTGTCCAATAGGACAGTAATGAACAGGACAGAACCAGACTTGCTCAGTGAGATATACCAGTCTCTTGGAGCTCCTCTAACATTATACTACAGCCCAGGCTAGCCCTCTTGCTACAGGAGATTGTGAATGACCCCATCCATCCAACCATCCATCCATTCCAGTGGATGCTTAGATGTGTTTAAAAAAAAAAAAAAAAAAAAAAGCTATCTCGCTCAGGCAGCCCCCGTCCAGATAGGCACACGAGACAATCCCACACAACAGAATTAGTAAATGTTTGTCTTCAGTCATTAATTTTTAGGAAAGTAATTTGTAGTGCAGTCAAAGGTAACTAATACCAATGTGAATGGACACCAGTGGGTGATTTGTTAAATAAATCAGAGATGTCTCCTCAGGAACAGCCTACAGACATAAAAAGATAAAAAGAATGACGGATACTGTAAACTGGTACAGCCACTAGGAACAGTATGGAGGTTCCTCAAAAAATTAAAAATAAAACTACCATATGACCCACCAATTCTACTTTATCCATTCAAAGGGAATGAAATCACTGTCTCAGAAAGATAGTTGTACCTCCATGTTCACTGCAGTATTATTTACAATAGCCATACATCAAAACCTGTGTCCTACACAAATGAATGGATAAAGAAAATGCAGTACACCCACAAATACACACAATAGAACATTCAGCCACAAAAAAAGAAAACCCTAGGGCACCTGGTGGCTTAATTGGTTAAGCCTCCGGTTCTTGGCTTCAGCTCAGGTCATGATCTCACAGTTTGTGAGACTGAGCCCCAAGTCGGGCTCTGCACTGACGTGGAGATTCTTTCTCCCTCTCTCTGCCCTTCCCCCACTTGTGCTCTCTCTCGCAAAATAAACTTAAGAAAAAAAAAAAAGAGAAAAAAAATTCTTGCCATTTATGACTCATGAATAGACCCTAAGGGTATTATACTAAGTAAATAAATTAGAGAAAGACAAAAACCATATGATCTTACTTATATATGGATTCTTAAAGAAAAAAACCCAAACTCCTAGATACAGAAAAAAATTTGTGGTTGTGACAGGGAGGGGTGAGGGTGAGATGTGGATGAAATGGGTGACAGTGGTAAAAATGTACAAACTTCCAGTTATAAAATAGAGAAGTCTAATAACAGTAATAATGATGTGCTGAATACTGTTAGCCATTAGGGAAACCCATGCTCCAGATTGGTTACTATTATATACCTAATAGAATGGTTAATATGAAATATACTGACAATACCAAGTTCTGGTGAGGATGGAGAGCAACTGAATCTCTCCTACACTGCTACTGGAATGGCTAAAATATACAGCCAACCCTTGGGTAACATGGAATTAAACTGCATGGGTTCACTTATATGCAGGGTTTAATTTTTATGGTAGAGCACTACAAATGTACTTTCTCTTCCTTATTTTTGTTGTTGGGCTTTATAAATCTTTCCAGTATAAAGTTCCAGTATAATTAACGTACAGTGTTATATTAGTTTTAGGTGTACAATATAGTGACTCAATAATTCTATAAATTACTCAGTGCTCACCATGAGAAGTGTACACTTAATCCCCTTTTTCTTATCCATTCCCCCAACCACCTCTCCACTAGTAACCTCCAGTTTGTTCTCTATATTTAAGAGTCTGGTTTTTTTGCCACAGAGATATCACCTCACGCCGGTCAGAGTGGCTAAAATGAGCAAATCAGAGAACTCTAGATGCTGGCAAGGATGTGGAGAAACAGGCACCCTCCTACACTGTTGGTGGGAATGTAAACTGGTGCAGCCCCTCTGGAAAACAGAGTGGAGCTTCCTCAGGAAACTA